GACGTCGAACGAAGCTCTATAAATCCTTGTAGAATGAACATGCTCGATTGTATTCGAATATTAATAAATATAGACACTGAGGCTTCAGCTACTGGAATATTGCTCCACACAAAGGGAAATTTGATTATTGGAAAAATTGAAGTCAGCTCTCTTGTCACAGTCTTGCACAGAATTTCTGCAATGCTACAGATCAGAACGTATGACAGTCCCCAAACACCACGTGTCTCATCAATATTTTCACTTTCAAATTCTACTGAAAGAGAAATTCATTGACACCGACTGTGTAAACGCCGTCGTGATAGCCCACCGCCGCTGAAGCAGCCATCTGTGAGTGATTGAATGTCTGTCATTCATAACACTCATTCATAAGGCCTCGTGTCGTTCACCTAAAGGCCTTCTTTCCAGAACCCACTGGTTGCCATGGGATCGATAAAGCGGAATTCATACTTGGCTGTGTACGCCTCGTATTGCGTGGGAATGCCACACGGAAATTGAAATACTCTTCAGCTGATACAGTTATTATTATTTTTTTCTATCTGATGTGTACGTGAAGACTGTTTCGTTACAGGTTTGGATGTGCAAATATACTGAGGGAAGCAAATAAGGGAACACCACTTCATCGCAGTGTTCCTTCATTCATTCTCAGATTTTCACCCACAGTGCGATACAAAGCTTGTGAAGAAACCTGGAAAAGAATTGAGGAACACGTGTGCTTTCATGTGTTCCGTTATTTGTTTCCCTCAGTATATCTTAGCATGAATGTGCCAGTGATATGACCGTTCCGACGTTTACAATGTATCAGCTGAGAAAGTTATAACTATGATGTGTCGTGGAAACAAACTACTGTTAGATATTCCACAATGGATATTGAAACTTTCTCCAGATTAAAATCCCTTCTAAGAATCTATAAAATCAGCACATTTCCAATCGACATAATATACACAAAATTATGTCATTTGACAGTGAAATATAGCATGATGTATTTAGAAAACGTTTAAATTGGGATCAAAATGGCACCCCTTTTAAATATTCATTTATTACTCACCCGTTGAATATATCACTGTTTAATAAACCTACAATGTTATTACACATTGTTTAATAACATCGCGTGATGCCGTACGTATGACGTCATAATGGTTTACAGTTATGACGTCACAATGCTAACATCTGTCAGAATAATAATAAGCGACCTTCACACGGCAAACTAAACTTTGACAACACATGTTGTTAAACTTTTTAAGTTGTCAAACTCGCGTTTTCACACGTCAAACATATGTTGTCAAACTTTCGTGTCATTTGATCGCCATGTCTTTATCAGTGCGGTCACATGACAATTTCGTTGACTGCAACTGGTTGTTTCTTAACAACACGAGTTTGACAACATTTCACACGACAAACTCGAGTTTGACAAAACCGAAAGTTTGATGGAAAAGTTGGTGAGAATAGGGACCGTTCCTATTTCTCGACAACAGTTTGACAACTCTGAATTTGGTGTTGGTGGTGAGTTGTTGGAATGTTCACACTCTCAAAATCGAGTTTGACAACAAGTGTTGTCAAACTTTAGTTTGCCGTGTGAAGGCCGCTTTAGTCCTTGCTTGACTCGCGGAAAGCTGAGAGTCATCACACTGTAGGCAGACTTTTAACAATTTATGTTGGGGAGTAATAAACAGAATACTAAAATCGATTCCGTGAAATACCATTTTTATGAAACTCGTGAACGATTTAACTCGCTTTCGCTCTTTTGATACCAAATCATTAACTCGTTTAAAAATGGTATTACAGGGAAGGACGTTTAGAATGTTCTATATAATGAATTAATTGAATGTGCATTATCTAATCCCCAAAGAATACACTCTTTGTTGTTAACTGTAAATGTAGCAGATTATCATGTTACTTTTTGACATGTAGCATATGGCATGTAACTTATGAGCATATGCTTGGCATGTACATTTTGGCGCGTAATATATTGTCATGTAATTTGGAGACATGTAGTATCTTGGCATGTAATGATTTGCATGTATCATCTTGGCATGTAACTTTTAGACATATACTCATGCCAATAATTGTTGTCACTCCTTCAATTTCTTTAATTGAAGAGGGGTGTGGGGTGAGGGTGGGGTTTGGGGTTGGGAGGGATGACAACCATTATTGGCATGAGTATATATCATCTTGATATGTACCTTTCGAGATGTGGCATATTGGCATGTAACTTTTGGGCATGTGACATATTATCATGTAACATTTGCGCATGCATGATCTTGGCTTGTTGGGCATGTAATACCATATGGCATATAACTTGTCGGTACCTTACCCTCAGGTTTGTACCATCTCTACAGGCAATATTTGTACTTAGTGTGTTGACACTAGATTTACACATAGAAATTCCAGATTTACATATAGAGATCCCTGATTTACACATAGAGATCCCAGATTTACACATAGAAATCCCAGACTTACACATAGAGATCCCAGATTTACACATAGAGATCCCAGATTTGCACATAGAAATCCCAGATTTACACATAGAGATCCCAGATTTTCACATAGAAATCCCAAATTTACACATAATAATCCCAGATTTACATACAGAGATGCCTGATTTACACATACAGATCCCAGATTTACACATAGAAATCCTAGATTTACATATAGAGATCCCTGATTTATACATAGAAATCCCAGATTTACACATAGAAATCCGAGATTTACATACAGAGATGCCTGATTTACACATAGAGATCCCAGATTAACACATAGCAATCCCAGATTTACATATAGAGATCCCTGATTTACATACAGAGATCCCTTATTTACACATAGAAATCCCAGATTTACATACAGAGATGCATGATTTACACATACAGATCCCAGATTAACACATAGCAATCCCAGATTTACATATAGAGATCCCTGATTTACATACAGAGATCCCTTATTTACACATAGAAATCCCAGATTTACACATAGAATGATCCCAGATTTTACATACAGAGGTCCCTGATTTACACAGACATACCAGATTTACATATAGAAATTCCAGATTTACATACACAGATCCCTGATTTACACATAGAAATCCCAGATTTACATACAGAGATCCCTGATTTACACATAGAGATCACAGATTTACACATAGAAATCTCAGATTTACATATAGAGATCCCATATTCACACATAGAAATCCCAGATTTACATATAGAGATCCCAGATTCACACAAATAAATCCTAGATTTACACATAGAAATTCCATATTTACATACACAGATCCCTGATTTACACATAGACCCAAGATTTAAACATTCAAAGCCAACATGTAAACATACAGACCAACGGTTTAACATACACACCCAAGCTTTAACATACACACCAAAGGTTTAACATACACAACCAAGGTTTAACATACACACCCAAGGTTTAACATACACGCCCAAGGTTTAACGTAACAACCCAAGGGTTAAACATACACATCGAAAACATATGGGGACATACCTACTACTTACACATACAGAACCAGTGTTTTCACACAGCAATTCAAGGTTCACCCACAGAAATCCTACGTGTATACACAGATATCCTGGTTTACACCAGCCACTTAGTTTGCACACAGGGCAACATCACATGTTCATGGCCTATTTTATACACTCGTGGCTTACTACAAGGAAGTTCAATGGGTTTCCCAACATGACTTGACATTTTTAAATGTGTTGAGACGTTACCTATTTGAACCAAGGGTTGTAACCTGTTATCCTTGAACTGACTGCACATACTTGGGTAACGTATGCTATTAAGTTAGAGACCTAGGGTTTCGACATACAGATCCAAGGTTTTGACATACAGACCCAATGTTTCGACATACAGTTCCAAGGTTTCGACATACAGACCCAAGGCATAGACATAAAGACCCAGACCCAAAGTTTCGACATACAGACCCAAGGTTTAGACATACAGACACAAAGTTTCGACAAACAGACCCATACCTAAAGTTTCGACAAACAAACCCAAGGTTTAGACATAAATACCTAGACCCAAAGTTTCGACATATAGACCCAAAGTTTCGACATACAGACACAAAGTTTCGACAAACAGACCCATACCTAAAGTTTCGACAAACAGACCCAAGGTTTAGACATAAATACCCAGACCCAAAGTTTCGACATACAGACCCAAAGTTTCGACATACAGACCCAAAGTTTCGACATACAGACCCAAGGTGTAGACATGAAGACCCAGACCCAAAGTTCGACATACAGGCCCAAGGTTTAGACATAAAGACCCAGACGGTTTCGACAGATGGATGCTCATGCTGTTGATCACTGGATTGTCTGGTACAGACTCGATTATTTACCGACCGCCGCCATATAGCAGGAATATTGCTGAATGCGGCGTAAACCTAAATTCACTCACTCACTTTAGCTTTACATCGCTTGGTCAGGGACAGACACTAGCCTGTATATCATCGTATCCCAATTCTGCGCTCTGTTTGCGGTGTCAATCACTGGAATTTCCGGTCCAGATTCGATTATTATATACCGCGTCGAATAGCTCAAAGCTTGCTGAGAACCTATACTCCGGATATAACGAAGTAGGTAACAATTAAAAATCGGTTGTAACGAAGTCATGTGTAATTCGAACAGTTGTTACAAAGTTACTGACATCTGCCCTGCATATTTTTCGTTTTGAAGTTCGAGGTTAGCGGTACAGTTGGTATTTCGTAATCGCTATACTGAGAGTGTCTTAACCATTGAACAAACAAGCGTGTCTCACTGACCCAATGCAGACTTTTTCTCGTCACTATATGGCTGGAATAATGCCGATGTGACGTAAAGCCCAACTCAAGTCAACTCACTTACCCAGCCAGAGTTTGTCTTTTCACGATATACCGTTTTAATAATGTACTTTTAGGAAGTGAATCAACAAAGCTGGGGTTTATTACGAGACCGGTGACGTGTGTTCGGTTTGAAATATGCCAGGAGAGACGACACGCGTGCTATCAACTGAATTTCAAAACTATACTACCCTAACATAAAGCAAACAACTTTGTGCTATTTTTATTTCTGGTTTACCGAGCTCGTTCAAAATCTCAGTCGGCTCAGCGGGTTTAATATCACGAGTACCGGGTAAACAAACTTCAAAATTTAAGATTTGCGAATAATTGGAGACGACGTTAAGTGGATTGAATCTATAGAAAAGGTAAGAGACGCGAGTGTTCGCCTTGAATATACGGCACTTAATCGGTGAATTTTGACCCGTTTGCATGGGGATACTTAGGACATAACCTACTTTGTTTTACTGTTACCACATCTACTGTCTCTCAGATACCTCCTGTCTCATAGACCCGTGAAGACCCGAGTTAGAATATTGATCTTCAGTAACCCATGCTTGTCGTAAGAGGCGACTAACGGGATCGGGTGGTCAGGCTCGCTGACTTGGTTGACACATGTCATCGGTTCCCAATTGCTTAGATCGATGCTCATGCTGTTGATCACTGGATTGTTTGGTCCAGACTCGATTATTTACACACCGCTTCCTTATAGCTGGAATATTGCTGAGTGCGTTGGAAAACTAAACTCACTCATTCTTGAATTATTTACACAGAAACTATATTGAAAATACAAAATTTCAAAACATCTTTTGTCAGACTCATTTTGAAGGTATGTATTGGGACATTCTATCATAGTTTTTCATTTGTGACGATAGAATAAAGAAAAATATTTCTGAAGACATGGTGATATATTTACATATTCATTTAACTGGTTGATTGTGTTTTAGCAAAGTGTAACTTGGTAATAGGTAAGCTCTGAAGTTACAGAAGCAACAACTTCCTTTTAATCAAGGTTTATGTTGTTTACGTTTAAGTTTACTGTTATATTCAAATTTCATTTCTCGTAAAGCATCATCATGTAAAATATATTTGTCGAACAAATATTTTCTTTTCTCTGTTTACCATTTAGGTTACTGCTATAATATAATTCATTTATTTGTGAAAATTGTAATCATCTCCAAAATAGTGTACTTCCCTTATTTGTCAAATACATTTCTGTTATAGAAAAATATAATATTTTTAACTGAAGTGAAAATCGTATTTATCTTACAAATATTTCATTTCCTTTGTTTACAATATAATTTAGTGTTGCTTCAGTTAAATTACATTTATAGGTGTTTTTGAAAATTGCTCATATTTGAAAAATACGTATTTGTATTCTGTAGCAAACGGTTCCTCTCAACCTCATTCTCAGCCACGGATATTAACAGTGCAGGGGTGTTCTTCAACTAAATCGCTTTCACTTATGGTTATGCCTGCGGGCCATCACACTGTTTCGTAGTGGATGCTTTCAGATCGGTAGTGTTTTCGCGCAACCATTTCTGGTCTAAGGGAGATAAGTCTAGACAACGTCGCACCTGCTCAGTGAACGGGCGTTACCTGACACAGCTCAGCACATGCGCACTAACGGAGGCAGTGTTAATCGGAGTACTTTTTACGCGTTGTAATTAGCACTGTCTGAAGGGGAACATTGTGGCAATCACATTAGTGTAATATATAATGTCTAGACGGATGGGAATACATAATATGACCGGCAAAGGACATTTTGAACCACTTTTTGCACTATTCGAAACTCGTCTCTCTGTGAGGGTCTATGTAAATCTGACAAAAGAATTAGAATTAAGTTGCTGTTACCTTCTAGACTTTTTATGATTTAAATGCATAATGAGCATTACAAATCTGTCGTATTTTTAATTACACATTCCGTGTTGACAGGAACCCAATATTCACGGTTCTTTGTGTCTTGTACTATCAATCCCATCTGCTGATCGTCCTTAAAAAATAGCATAATAAGAAACGGTTGGTTAGGTTTAATGTAAACATATGACCAACCTTACCGCATAAACTTATTGTTGAAAACACAAAAGAGCCGCTTTCTCATTTAGTCGAATGAACCGACGAATTTCATTCACAACCGAGGCGTCTTACTTCGATAGTTTACAATGCCATAATTTCATATATTATTATCATGATAATTGGCAGCATTGTCATGAGCGTCATTTTAAGTTCTTTCTTGAAATGTTATTTTGCAGTTTTTCCAAAATGTTTCCAATTTTACCCGTCTGTAGTTTAAAGAGCCTTTTAACTGCCAGGCATATCTAAATCAGCGTTAAACATGCTTGACGACTGACGAGAAAGAACGCTTGCAAATTATCGAAGGACGCTGTCCATTGAGACGCTTTTTCAAATTGTTAATTGTTAATTGTAATAGCTTTCTATCCGTCTGGAACTCCCAGCAACAAATGGGACACGGTTCCTTTGTTTGAGGACTTCGCACACCCGGAAGTTCACGCCTGTCTAATTATGTATGTCTTGTAGAGGAACCTGCACGTGTATAATTCAGAAACAAATAATGCTTTTTTTGTTGTTTTTAGGACATTAAAATCAGTATTTTTGTCAGCTCTTGTGCGCAGATGCCAATACAGTTTGTGAACAATTTGCCAGGAAAGTTGATTGGGGTATGATGGGGATTGCAAGATTTGATCAAGCTTCGTGGTATATTTCCTCTTGAACAAGTTGAAGACCACCCGACCGGCTCTAGTTATGTTTGAAACGCCTTGCTTGCTCAAGCTTTAAGTAGCGACGATATCACTTGATTCTAATTTTGCGTGCACTCTTGAATACTAGAAATCCCCCATACTTGATATTGCTGGGATATTGCTAAAACCCAACGCACTCACTCATGATCTAGCAATCGTCCCGCCCTCTCGCGTGTGTTGTTTTACGCCGCACACAGCGGTGTTTCAGCTTAATGACGGGACGATGGGGGTATCCTAATTATTAAACCGTCCGCATGTCACGCTGAAGATCCGGGTTCGATTCCCCACATGGGAACAATGTGTGAAGCCTATTTCTGGTGTCCCCTGCCGTGATGCTGCTGGATTACTCCTCAAAGCGGCGTAAAACAAAACTCACTCACTCCAGCTAAATGACGATCGCCTCTACGTAGTGGATTTTGGACTCCACAATATATCTCCTATTACAAATGAAACATAATTTACAGTTAAACTTAGACTGACTGACTGGCTGAGTTTGGTTTTACGCCGCTTGTAGCAATATTCCAGCAACATCACGGCGGGGGACACAAGAAATGGGCTTCACACATTGTGCCCATGTGGGGATTCGAACCCGGGTCTTGGAGTGACGAGCCAACGCTTTAACCATTAGGCTACCCCACCGCCCCAGTTAAACTAAGCAGTCTCATGATTCGATTACAATAGCCGCGAACCTGTTCAGGGTACAAACTGTATTTTTCGTGAATATCAATATTGGTACGGACATTGTGCATTGTTGTGTATAAACTTCTGCATAATATATTTTTGGGAGTGTGTTGACAATGTCAGCTTCTATGCGTGGCTATTAAGAGAAAATAGTCTACCTACCTTCCATAAACCGTGCTTTCCAAAACAGATCCATTTGGTATCCATGGTAACCCAAGATATATTGAAAGCTACATAAGTGCTCTAGGGTTACATCCAGTTCTGTTCTGGTAATCCAGCAGTTCCTTTAATCCTGCGCATATTGCGTTGATACGTAACTTCTCTTTCTATTTTTAGAATACATAATCTCCGTTCCTCCTATGACGTCACACGACGTGTTGTTCATGCCTTGTGTGACGTCACATTAGCAGAACACGGCACACGTTTCGTATATCCCAGACAACCACTCCTGTGGAATAAAAAACACCAGAGTTAACACAGTAATAATTAAACAATCATTTATTTTAAAAACTTGGACAAAGGGAATTATAAAGCTTACGTGTCGAGAATATTGAAACCTGTACTCTGTGCATTCTGAAGACATATAATCACATCGTTTGTCACGAATAATCGGTTCTATCAAAACATGCGTAATAATGTTGATATAACGAACTTCGTATAAAACAAATCGGTATTCACTGTCTCCGTGTGTTCGATACATCTGGTGTTAACCGTGCCATACATCTCACCTCCAATATTTGCCATGAGAATTATTTCTAAAACGGATGTCACGAAGTTAGCCTCGTGTCTAACACAGTTTGATGTTCGACATTGATCGAAATATACCAGATAGTTCGAAATTAGCCCAACGTCTACACCAGTGTCCCGTCCGATGTCGATCTGAACAGTACGGATGTCTCGAGGTTTGCCTCACGTCTGCATTATGTCCTGACCAACGTCGATCTAGCTCCGGATGTCTCGAAATGCCCACCAGTATTACGCAAATGTCCTGCCATGCAATGTTACGAAGATAGTCTTATTTCCACATCAGTGGTCTGCTCGGCGTTCATCAAAGCACACCCGATGTCTCGAAGTAAGCTTCAGGTCTACTTCAGTTTCATGCCACTCGATGTCCCGAAGTTCCATTCTGTCTTCTCGTCACATATCTGACTGTAACATTAATTGTGAAGCATCGATCGTCAAACAAGCGTGGGTCTCTCTATATAAAGGACAGTCGTTATCCGGACAAACATTATACGTGGTGCAGCATTCATTAACAATCGGAGTTAAAAACCTTTAAACATCCAAAATAGCAAACACACATGCGAGGGGTCTCTCTATACAACGGACAGTCGTTATCCGGACTAACTTCAGATGTCTTGAAGAATTCAAGTATGCGCGGAGTTGACACCGGAAAACATCCAAAATTGTGATCATACACGCGAAAGGTCTCTCAATATAACGGACAGTCGTTATCCGAACTAAAAGCAGATATCCGTCTCATATATCATTTCAGAAAACGCGCAGTTGACACCGGAAAACATCCAAAATGATGATCACACATGCAAGAGGTGTCTCTGTATAACGGACAGTCGTTATCCGAACTAACATCAGATATCCGTCTCATATATCATTTCAGAAAACGCGCAGTTGACACCGGAAAACATCCAAAATGGTGATCACACATGCAAGAGGTGTCTCAGTATAACGGACAGTCGTTATCCGGACTTACATCAGCTATCCCACATAGCATCTCAGAATACGTAGAGGTGACACCAGTAAACATCCAACATGGCGATTACTCACGGGGGTGCTCTCTATATAACGGACGTTTAGTATCCGGGTTAGCTTCAGAGATCCATCGTAGCATTTCAGAACCACAGACGACGGGAAAATGTTCACAACCAGCAACTGTGTCACCTGCATACCACAGTTCATCTTTTGTGTCTTCAATCAAAGTATAATCCTCATCAGTTCATCATTGCATGGCTGGTTCCAAAATTGGTAAACTTGGAACAGGTCGGAGACCTTGACCGCCCACCAAACATCTGCTCCTGCAATCTGCAATTCTTTCTCGTCAACGCAAAGCAGCCCGTCCGAGCATAATCTTCAACATGCAATGCATTCTTATCCAAGACCACTGCATCAGGCTTCATTGCAAACTGAGGATGGTTTGAAAGATTACTGAAGTTGCAAGCTCATTCAAACTTCTAAAAATATAATCTTTGCATTTTCACAAAGAAACAACCAGACCGTGTTTCCCTTCTACGCAGATGACACCTCAACTATCATCCTCGATATAACGCGAAAAGAGTGAGCCAATTTGGTAACGCAATAGACGAATGGAGATGAGACGTTTTCAACAGCAGACTATGTTGGTTAATTGCTATCCATTTCAGGAATAAAGGTTATTTTTCTGGGCCAGTTATTCGGGGATTTGTTTGATACGCGTTTCTGCGAATTTGGAAAGATGATAGTGTGTAAGTAAAAGAGTCAAGCGTGTCGTTAGCTTCGAAACAAGGACCCATTCATAACTGCGGTATCTCAATGACTACTGAAAACTGTCTACTGTATATACCATGAATTAAAACGTCTTGTGGTGATTGGAGAAGTGGAAATACATTATTACGGGTGATATTATATGTGTCAATATTACGGTTAGAGTCGAATTCGGCTGTTTCAGGATGGACCGTGTTCGAATGTATGTGTATCTCGAATTCATCTTTTTGACAGCTTCCTTTTCTCAAACAACATCGTTGTTGTTGAATGTAGGCGTATGAAGTGCATCTATGTTATGTGAAGCCATTGCAGCTGACAAAGAGTACATTGTGAAAACATTTACATGTAACGATAATATCACATGAGTAACTTTTCATCAAATTTATGAAAATGGGTCAATGGAAGTTATAAATATTATCCGCGATGGTTGATATATTTGATGTCACAGAACACGAGTAAGATTCCATTTATCACCCAAGAGCGTAGGCCGATGCTCATGCTGTTGATCACTGGATTGATGGTCCAGACACGATTATTTACAGATCGAAAAGCGGCGTTAAACAACAAATAAACAAACTAACTAATTATCCCAAAATATTTTTCCAACGCTGTCAGTATGCAAATAGCAATTTGAAGTGCTTGATTTATAAGTACACCCTACTCTTGAAGATCAGGGTTAGAATTGATCTTCAGTAACCCATGCTTGTCGTAAGAGGTGGTCAGGCTCGCTGACATGGTTGACACATGTCATCGGTTCCAATTGCTCAGATTGATGCTCATGCTGTTGATCCCTGGATTGTCTGGTCCAGACTCGATTATTTACGGACCACCGCCATATAGCGGGAATATTGCTGAGTGCGGCGTAAAACTAAATTCACTCACTCACTTTAAGTACATCCGACTAACTTCTCTGACGTCATGTTATTGTGATGTCAAGCTGACTGCCGACCTAACAATGGCCACCACAAAATATTGTGATGCATTTTCAATGCAGAATATCCCGTAGAGGATACCTTCTGGGTGATATGAAGATATATCTCCCGTGGAAAGCAGTTTGTGGTTAATAAACAGAGATGGACGCGCGAGTGAGTGAGTATGGTTTTGCGCCGCCTTTAGCAATATTCCAGCAATATCACGCAATGGACACCCGAAATGGGCTTCACAGACGCGCGAGTGTGTTCGGGGATGGTATATATCGAACAAATGTACGTACATATTGAGCGAGTATTAACCCAAAACAAATACTAGACATCGATTGAATTCCCAAAATAATTTATATTTTGTTCTACCGGCTTCTGTATCTAAGGCATGTAACATGTATTTACTGAATATCTAAACAATTGACGGGTGATAGGAAAGTTAAGACACATCTGATACGAACTTGGCTTTTATTACTCAGCGTCTGATATGAGATGCATTCTTCTTCTAACATATAGGCCTTAGTAAAACCGACTATTACATAAAATGCATTTAAAATTTAGAATATGCAATGAAACATGTTTTAAATAAGAGATAGTGTGTAAGCGCCATGCAATGTAAAATGCCTGTACTTTAAACAAGTAGCTCGAAGTAGAGGGGTTTGACACCGATTCCATATTGTTGGAAGAATCGAGATAGTGAGTGAGTGAGTTTAGTTTTACGCTGCACTCAGCAATATCCCAGCTATATGGCGGCGGTCCGTAAATAATCGAGTCTGGACCAGACAATCCAGTGATCAACAGCATGAGCATCGATCTACGCAATTGGGAACCGATGACATGTGTCAACCAAGTCAACGAAACTGACCACCCGATCCCGTTAGTCGCCTCTTACGACAAGAATAGTCGCCTTTTATGGCAAGCACATGGGTTGCTGAAGACCTATTCTAACCCGGATCTTCACGGGTCAAGAATCGAGATAACTCTTCACTCGAAGAAGATAGACAGTTGTGAGACAAGGGGCGAAATTACAAATCTCCACCATCGGATTCGAGATAATGAAACAAAACGATTGTTTTTCTCTCGGATATATCGAAGTAGGTAACAGTTTTAAATGAACTAAACAATAATTAGTTTAGGTTTAAAAGCTTATTGGTATACTGAAAATATTGTTAGGACAATTCTGTGATAATTCCAAAACATTCACAAGAATACAAGTCAGCTGAACATGTTGCCAGGTAACACAATTAATCCCTCTATTTTTACAAACCAATACATGTGGGGTGTAGTTCAGACCAATAAACATGACTTCCCTCCTACTTTCTTCGATAATAAATGAAAAACCCAGCAACAATGGACATCAGCAAAACATTTTTTCTGCATAATTTAATATTATTGTGAAGCAGGTGATACCCCAATCTGAGTGAGCCGAAGAGGCCAGTGAACCAGAACTCGCTAGAATTCTTCAATGATTTTTTCCCAAGCGATTGACATGGACGCTTCTTGGTAGTTGCGTAATGGTAAAAGTTTCCTTTTAAATATGTTTGCACAAAATAAGAGTAACGACGCGGACCTGGCAGTAATATGACAAGAGAATTACTCAAAGAAACGAATAAATCTAAGAAGCATTACATCACATACAATGTTATGTATCGGTATTGGGGGGGGCTCGGCCCTATAAAAGATCGGATCCCTTGCCGAACACCTTAAACAAGTGGAAAGTTTGGTTCCAGTCATAGCACGTAAGTCTTGTTGTCTTTACTAGACACTATCTCTATGAAACACTTGATTTCCGAATGGCTCGTAGGTTCTTAAATCAAACTTATTTATCGTTATTGTTTTCAAAGGAAACTGATTTGTTTATAGATTTTTAAGGAAACATATGTGTTCCTAATATTTTCAAATGAAATGTATTTATTCTTAATATTTTCAAATGAAATGTATTTATTCTTAATTTTATTTGAAGGGAACTTGTTTAGTCTTAATTTCTTTAAAAGGAAGCGTATATATTCTTATTTTTTCTCAAAGGAAATTTGTTTAGTCTTAGCGTTTTCAAAGAAAACCTATTTATTCTTAATTTTCTCAAAGGAAACTTATTTATTCTTAAATATTTAAAAAAAAGGTTTATATTCTTAATTGTTTTCTAAGGAAACTTATTTAAGTTAACGTAATTATTCGTTTGTCTTTATATTTTATTTTCCTATTGCGTATTACATGCTGTTTGACATCTAAATTGCCGACAAAAGAAGGTAAACCGCCATGTTTGTATAAATGATACAAAATACATTATTCGGTGGTGAAGTATCGGTATTAACGTCGATATTACGTGAATCGTATCGATGCATATCTGACATGTGACGTGACGTTAAAAGGAACGTGAGGGGCGTATATTCACAGTGCACACTAATGATGACCGTGGTGTCAAGGTTCAAGTGTATACTTTCTTTTGTTCTTCAGTTTATAACTACGTTAAATGGGATTATTATAATTTGCATAGTTGGTTTTGTTATTATTTGCAGTGTGTCGTTTATAAATATCTATTGTCTTTGCATAGTGTTATGCGCCTATCAAAATCAGTATACTTTGTAACCCGTGAAGGTCCGGGTTAAAATGAACCTTCAGTAACCCATGCTTGTCGTAAGAGGCGACTAACGGGATCGGGTGGTCAGGCTCGCTGGCTTGGTTGACACATGTCATCGGTTCCCAATTGCTTAGATCGATGCTCATGCTTTTGATCACCGGATTGTCTGGTATAGACTCGATTATTTACAGACAGCCGCCATATAGTTGGAATATTGCTGAGTGCGGCGTAAAACTAAACAGTCAGTATTCTTTGTATTTGTTGTCGGTGTTAGTCAGTGCATTCTTTGAAAGACATTGAAAGACGTGAAGAAGTCTATGTCATTGTTGTGGATGCTCATAGACTTTGTAAAGTTAGTAGCGTTAGGAGACGAAGTTGTAGTATTTGCAGTAGTAGTAGAAGCAGGATGTGTTGTAGAAGTAGCAGTAACATTAATGCTAGAGACAACTCAATAGTAGTACTGATAGCAGCAGTTGTCGTCCTCTGTTCGCGTTTCAACTTTATCTTCAGGGGCGGATTACAGTTACAGATTTTACAGTTTAATCTGTAAGTGTATCTGTATCATTACTTCAGGAAGCGGTTACCGTTACAGATTATATTTGTATAATCTGTAAGTGTAACTGTAACATTACTTCAGGAAGCGGTTACAGTTACAGATTATATTTGTATAATCTGTAAGTGTATCTCTAACATTACTTCAGGTAGGGATTACAGTTACAGATTATATTTGTATAATCTGTAAGTGTAACAGTAACATTACTTCAGGCAGCGGTTACAGTTACAGATTATATTTGTATAATCTGTAAGTGTATCTCTAACATTACTTCAGGTAGGGATTACAGTTACAGATTATATTTGTATAATCTGTAAGTGTAACTGTAACATTACTTCAGGCAGCGGTTACAGTTACAGATTATATTTGTATAATCTATAAGTGTATCTGTAACATTACTTCAGGAAGCGGTTACCGTTACAGATTATATTTGTATAATCTGTAAGTGTATCTGTAACTTTACTTCAGGAAGCGGTTACAGTTACAGATAATACAAATATAATCTGTAACTGTAACCGCTTCCTGAAGTAAAGTTACAGATACACTTACAGATTATACAAATATAATCTGTAACGGTAACAGCTTCCTGATAATGATACTGATACACAGATAATACAAATATAATCTGTAGGAAGCGCTTATTACTTAAGGAAGCGACAGCGACAGATTATATTTGTATAATCTATAAGTGTATCTGTAACATTACTTAAGGAAGCGGTTACAGCGACAGATTATATTTGTATTATCTGTAAGTGTATCTGTAACTTTACTTCAGGAAGCGGTTACAGCGACAGATTATATTTGTATTATCTGTAAGTGTATCTGTAACATTACTTAAGGAAGCGGTTACAGCGACAGATTATATTTGTATAATCTATAAGTGTATCTGTAACATTACTTAAGGAAGCGGTTACAGTTACAGATTATATTTGTATTATCTGTAAGTGTATCTGTAACTTTACTTCAGGTAGCGGTTACAGTTACAGATTATATTTGGATAATATGCAAGTGTAACTGTAACATTACTTCAGGAAGCGGTTACAGTTACAGATTATATTTGTATTATCTGTAAGTGTAACTGTGATATTACTTGAGGAAGCGGTTACAGCGACAGATTATATTTGTATTATCTGTAAGTGTATCTGTAACTTTACTTCAGGAAGCGGTTACAGCGACAGATTATATTTGTATTATCTGTAAGTGTATCTGTAACATTACTTAAGGAAGCGGTTACAGCGACAGATTATATTTGTATAATCTATAAGTGTATCTGTAACATTACTTAAGGAAGCGGTTACAGTTACAGATTATATTTGTATTATCTGTAAGTGTATCTGTAACATTACCTCAGGTAGCGGTTACAGTTACAGATTATATTTGGATAATATGCAAGTGTAACTGTAACATTACTTCAGGAAGCGGTTACAGTTACAGATTATATTTGTATAATCTGTAAGTGTAACTGTGACATTACTTCAGGAAGCGGTTACAGCGACAGATTATATTTGTATTATCTGTAAGTGTAACTGTAACATTACTTCAGGAAGCGGTCACAGTTACAGATTATATTTGTATAACTGTAGCTGTATTTTGCCCCTGAAGGATAAGTTGAAACGCGTAGGACGGTAGAATTTGTCATTGTGTCATTATTTTGTGGATTTCTTTATGTGTTCTAGTGTGCTCTGCTGAACTTCACCTCTATCTAAATAACAAAGTACAAGAAATAAAGTAATTCCGGCAACGCCAGTTTTAATACGTTTAATAAACTACTTCAGTATCTAAGTGAATAATAAAATGATATAAAATTTTGAAATAGCTTTTAGAAATGAAGTATTAATACAATAATCCAAAAAATCCTTTTCTCCGTTTGAGAAAACATAAAAATCATTCGTCATAGCACTTGAGTGTTTTATCACCTAGGTGAGTTGAATTTTACGCCGCTTTTAGCATTAATCCAACAAAACCACGACAGAAGTACAAGAGTACACCAGGAATGAGATTCCTACATTGCATCTACTATGGGAATCGAAAAATAGACTACGGCGTGACGAGCGAACGTTTTAACCAAATGGCTACCCGACGCCACTTCAGTTTAAGACAAAACAAACCTTTTTGACGTTTTTTTATTGTGACATCTATGTTGCACTCGATATACATGAATACAGAAAATTTTGCTTCAAAACAGAAGAAAATTGCTTGCGGAATACACATATAAAGTAAACTCGATTGGAAATAATTAAGGGAGCGGAAACCAAACATGTTGTGAAAGGTAGCATAGAAGGACTTTGATAACTGCACTGTAACAAAAACAGGCCTCAGACATGCGGGCTACAGCCGGGGAAAGAGTGACAGAAGGATATGGAGGTCAGGAGAGCTGACGATGTTTATGTCGTAGACGCTGTTAATCCCATGAATAGTCTCTATGGTTCAGTGAGTGAGTATGGTTTTATGCCGCTTTTAGCAATATTCCAGCAATATGACGGCGGGGGACACCAGAAATTGGTTTCGCACATTGTACCCATGTGGGGTATCGAACCCGGGTCTTCGGCGTCACGAGCGAATGCTTGAATCACAAGGCTACCCCACCGCTCCGGTCTGGATCAGAGGGGACGTAACGGAGTTAAACAAAAAAGAAGTTGCTGTAGGAACGTGTAGCCAGAAAGGATAAACCCATGATGCCATGAGACGTTGTTCGTCTTACCAATGTATCCTGAGGTTCAAAGCCCCGTTCCTGTCATCTTAGCGATAATAATGATCGTACCCCCTAGTCCCTAACTTACATTTAGGACAGACTTAATGATGAGGTCTTGAAGAGGGTCCTGCTGCTACTGATATTTACCAGCAACTGTGATCTGGCTGACATAGACTTGGGACTGAGTTAACGATGAGATCATGAAGAGGGACCAAGTTCCGTTTTTAGTCGGCCTCCGTGACAATCCTGGTTTTTGTGTTAAATAAAGTCTAGTTAATGTTCAAACAAGTAACTAGTGTTCTATGCTCAACGGTTTATACTGTCCATGCTGAATATCAATGTCTATGTCCTGGATGTGTATGTCAATATCATTTTCCGCAAGCCACGATTATACAAATTCATGCAACAGAAATCTGAGCAATTGGAAAATGTCATTTCAGGCCAGGCCCTTATACCCGTCACCACTTCAAAGATATCACTTTATTAAAAACAATTCTCACCTTTCAGTACTTTCTGAAGTCCTCGCTACAAATGGAAGCAAGTCACGAATCGTCCCAAAGCCACCTGGGTACTATCCTCCCTCCCGCCACTTTCCCGCCATATTACCCGGAGCAGACGACACAACCCTCTACCCTGAACGGAGCTCCCTGTTTCTATCTCGGTGACCGGCCGACTTTCGAGCCAAACCCTCCCCAGATATTCGCCAGGACAGATCCGGACGACCAGGTAAGATATTGAATGTGACTTTCTAGTAAAAAAAAATACCCGTGCACTGGTTTTGCAGGTTGGTTGCTATGACGACTTACATTGCAGCTGTTAATACCGGAAATTGACACAATCGGAAGTCGGTATAATAAATTCAAGGGCTTTGTTTATTTAACTCTTTCGTCTATTAAGACAGCGGTTTGAGGGTGGCGTTGAGGGTTATCGGATCTTTTTATCTAAATCCGGTTTTGATGTAGTTAGGAATTTAAAAGGATTTAAATTACATGTCCCTCTAAATATCTAAATATTGTAAAAAGGAGTCACTATGTCATGGCTGAGATACTATCGATATGACTAAAACTCCAAACTCATTCACATATGAGCATGATCAAAGAGTGTTTCTTCATCTTGCTTATTTTCATGTCCATACGAAACTTAAATTTAAAATGAGTGAGTGAGTTTAGCTTTACGCCGCTTTTAGCAATATTCCAGCAGTATCACGGCGGGGAACACCAGAAATGGGCTTCACATATTGTACCCATGTGGGAATCGAACCCGGGTCTTCGGCGTGACGAGCGAACGCTTTAACCACTGGGCTACCCCACCGCCCCAAATTTAAAATGAATTTCCTGTTTCCTCATCAAAACAATGTAAGCATTACCATGACGTCAAACGGCGATGATGTGATTCTACAAAATCATCGGTCTATCAAAATTAGTTATTTTTAGTGTGCAAATGTATTCATAAATAGCCATGCATAACCCAACTCCCAAACTCATTGCCATTGTTAATTATTTCCACTGGCGTGAGTGCATATAACCCACCGCCACAAAACACCCCTAATCATTGTTAGGAAATGTGTTATTGCCTATGCTGATTCCAAATTTTAGCAACACATTACAAATACATATTGTGTGCACCTTTTGGTGACTGGTCATGTGATATTGAGTTGGTTTCAACACAACTTTGACAGTATTTCAATCATATTGCAGAGTGTTATTTTGAATTAATTATTTTTACAGGCGTGAGTGCATATTATGTCAAACGCGCAGGGGTTTTATCACCATGTTTGATTTCTAGCTTCACTGAGACGCGGCATTGTCTCGCGGGCGTTTTGTTACGCCACCCGCTGAATTTGCCAGACGCGATTGGGCGACTTGAGTTGCCTGTGGAAGAAGCTTCCACGACCCTGACCCCATTTCTAACAGTGATACGGTGACATGTTAACAACGGTATAATATTAGGAGACGCATGTTTGAAAGTAATAACTTCCACTTTTGTTTGGGAAACGAAGCCGGCGCCATGTTATCGTCATATTTTATTCACAGGCATTTTAACTGTCTTAAGCAAACATTACTAAATTATTTACCCATGAAGCATGAGAAACTGGCATTCACTCTACGCCTGAAATATTATAGGAGGTTATTTCTTGCTGTATGGGTGCGGTGGGGTAGCCTAGTGGTCAAAGCGTTCGCTCGACAGGCCCGGGTTCGATTCCCCACATAGGTGTAATAAGTGAAGACCATTTCTGGTGTCCTCCGCTGTGATATTGCTGAAATATTGCTAAAACCGGCGTAAAACTAAACTCACTCACTCACTTTGGCTGTAGAACCAGTAAAGAATCAGTGGTTGATGTTATGAGCACTGGGCCATGGAAGTTCGTGATGGCATGCACTCAACCAACTCACCGAGCCTGACTACCGTCTTGTATCGTCATTGTATTGTATCTTGTATTGTACAACAAACACTGATTGCTGGAAACATAACGTAGAAAATAATTTGAGTGCGTGAGTATGGTTTTACGCCGCTCATATCAATACTACAGCAATATCACGAGGAGGGACACCAGAAATGGGCTTCACACATTGTACCCATGTGGGAATCGAACCGGGTCTTCGGCGTCACGAGCGAACACTTTAATCACTAGGCTAACCCAACGCCCGAAAATAATTTGACATGAATAGGTTGTACCATACCTGGTAGCTGTCTCAAGCCTATATTCCTGTGGTATTCAGGCGATGTATTATTTTGTTAACCACATGCTGTTGGTTAAGATGTCTGACTCGTGTTGTAGTTGTTGCTGTTGTTGTAGATGATGTTGCTGGTAGTGATAGTGCTGCTGTTGAAGATGGTGTTGGTTGTGATGATGAAACCGTTGTAGATGATGTTGGTTGTGATGATGATACCGTTGTAGATGATGTTGGTTGTGACGGTGATACCGTTGTAGATGATGTTGGTTGTGATGATGATACCGTTGAAGATGATGTTGGTTGTGACGGTGATACCGCTGTAGATGATGTTGGTTGTGACGGTGATACCGTTAAGATGATGTTGGTTGTGACGGTGATACCGTTCAAGATGGTGTTGGTTGTGACGGTGATGCCGTTGTAGATGGTGTTGGTTGTGACGGTGATACCGTTGTAGATGATGTTGGTTGTGACGGTGATACCGTTGTAGATGATGTTGGTTGTGACGGTGATACCGCTGTAGATGATGTTGGTTGTGACGGTGATACCGTTGAAGATGATGTTGGTTGTGACGGTGATACCGTTGAAGATGATGTTGGTTGTGACGGTGATACCGTTGAAGATGATGTTGGTTGTGACGGTGATACCGTTGAAGATGGTGTTGGTTGTGACGGTGATACCGTTGAAGATGGTGTTGGCTGTGATGATGAAACCGTTGTAGATGATGTTTGTTGCGATGATGAAACCGTTGTAGATGATGTTGGTTGTGACGGTGATACCGTTGAAGATGGTGTTGGTTGGGACGGTGATACCGATGTAGATGATGTTGGTTGTGACGGTGATACCGTTGTAGATGATGTTGGTTGTGACGGTGATACCGTTGTAGATGATGTTGGTTGTGACGATGATACCGCTGTAGATGATGTTGGTTGTGACAGTGATACCGTTGAAGATGATGTTGGTTGTGACGGTGATGCCGTTGAAGATGATGTTGGCTGTCACGGTGATACCGTTGTAGATGATGTTGGTTGTGACGGTGATACCATTGAAGATGATGTTGGTTGTGACGGTGATACCGTTGTAGATGATGTTGGTTGTGACGGTGATACCGCTGTAGATGATGTTGGTTGTGACGGTGATACCGTTGTAGATGATGTTGGTTGTGACGGTGATACCGCTGTAGATGATGTTGGTTGTGACGGTGATACCGCTGTAGATGATGTTGGTTGTGACGGTGATGCCGTTGTAGACGATGTTGGTTGTGACGGTGATACCGTTGAAGATGATGTTGGTTGTGACGGTGATACCGTTGAAGATGATGTTGGTTGTGACGGTGATACCGTTGAAGATGGTGTTGGTTGTGACGGTGATACCGTTGAAGATGGTGTTGGCTGTGATGATGAAACCGTTGTAGATGATGTTTGTTGTGACGGTGATACCGTTGTAGATGATGTTGGTTGTGACGGTGATACCGTTGTAGATGATGTTGGTTGTGACGGTGATACCGTTGTAGATGATATTGGTTGTGACGGTGATACCGTTGTAGATGATGTTGGTTGTGACGGTGATACCGCTGTAGATGATGTTGGTTGTGATGGTGATACCGTTGTAGATGATGTTGCTTGTGACGGTGATGCCGTTGTAGATGATGTTGGTAGTGACGGTGATACCGTTGAAGATGGTGTTGGTTGTGATGATGAAACCGTTGTAGATGATGTTGGTTGTGACGGTGATACCGTTGAAGATGGTGTTGGTTGTGATGATGAAACCGTTGTAGATTATGTTGGTTGTGAAGGTGATACCGTTGTAGATGATGTTGGTTGTGACGGTGATACCGTTGTAGACGATGTTGGTTGTGACGGCGATACCGTTGTAGACGATGTTGGTTGTGACGGTGATACCGTTGTAGATGATGTTGGTTGTGACGATGATACCGTTGAAGATGATGTTGGTTGTGACGGTGATACCGTTGTAGACGATGTTGGTTGTGACGGTGATACCATTGTAGATGATCTTGGTTGTGACGGTGATACCGTTGTAGATGATGTTGGTTGTGACGGTGATAGTGTTGTAGATGATGTTGGTTGTGACGGTGAAACCGTTGTAGATGATGTTGGTTGTAACGATGAAACCGTTGTAGATGATGTTGGTTGTGACGGTGATGCCGTTGTAGATGATGTTGGTTGTGACGATGATACCGTTGAAGATGATGTTGGTTGTGACGGTGATACCGTTGTAGATGATGTTGGTTGTGACGGTGATACCGTTGTAGATGATGTTGGTTGTGATGATGAAACCGTTGTAGATGATGTTGATTGTGACGGTGATGCAGTTGTAGATGATGTTGGTTGTGACGGTGATACCGTTGTAGATGATGTTGGTTGTGACGGTGATACCGTTGTAGATGATGTTGGTTGTGACGGTGATACCGTTGTAGATGATGTTGGTTGTGACGGTGAAACCGTTGTAGATGATGTTGGTTGTGACGGTGATACCGTTGTAGATGATGTTGGTTGTGACGGTGATGCCGTTGTAGATGATGTTGGTTGTGACGGTGATACCGTTGTAGATGATGTTGGTTGTGACCGATACCGTTGTAGATGATGTTGGTTGTGACGGTGATACCGTTGTAGATGATGTTATTGTGACGGTGATACCGTTGTAGATGATGTTGGTTGTGACGGTGATACCGTTGTAGATGATGTTGGTTGTGACGGTGATACCGCTGTAGATGATGTTGGTTGTGACGGTGATACCGTTGTAGATGATGTTGGTTGTGACGGTGATACCGCTGTAGATGATGTTGGTTGTGACGGTGATACCGTTGTAGATGATGTTGGTTGTGACGGTGATACCGTTGTAGATGATGTTGGTTGTGACGGTGATACCGTTGTAGATGGTGTTGGTTGTGACGGTGATACCGTTGTAGATGATGTTGGTTATGACTGTGATACCGTTGTGGATGATGTTGGTTGTGACGATGATACCGTTGAAGATGATGTTGGTTGTGACGGTGATACCGTTGTAGATGGTGTTGGTTGTGATGATGAAACCGTTGTATATGATGGTTGTTGTGACGGTGATACCGTTGTAGACGATGTTGGTTGTGACGGTGATACCGTTGTAATTGATGTTGGTTGTGACGGTGATACCGTTTAAGACGATGTTGGTTGTGACGGTGATACCGCCTGAAGATGATGTTGGTTGTGACGTTGATACCGTTGTAGATGATAACGTTGTAATGATGATGTTGGTCTGTGACGGTGATACCGTTGTAGATGATGTTGGTTGTGACGGTGATACCGTTGAAGATGATGTTGGTTGTGACGATGATACCGTTGAAGATGATGTTGGTTGTGACGGTGATACCGTTGTAATTGATGTTGGTTGTGACGGTGATACCGTTTAAGACGATGTTGGTTGTGACGGTGATACCGTTGTAGATGATGTTGGTTGTGACGGTGATACCGTTGTGAGATGATACTGGATTGTTGGTTGTGACGGTGATACCGTTGTAGATGATGTTGGTTGTGACGGTGATACCGCTGTAGATGATGTTGGTTGTGACGGTGATACCGTTGTAGATGATGTTGGTTGTGACGGTGATACCGTTGTAGATGATGTTGGTTGTGACGGTGATACCGTTGAAGATGATGTTGGTTGTGATGATGAAACCGTTGTAGATGATGTTGGTTGTGACGGTGATACCGTTGAAGATGGTGTTGGTTGTGATGATGAAACCGTTGTAGATGATGTTGGTTGTGAAGGTGATACCGTTGTAGATGATGTTGGTTGTGACGGTGATACCGTTGTAGATGATGTTGGTTGTGACGGTGATACCGTTGTAGACGATGTTGGTTGTGACGGTGATACCGTTGTAGATGATGTTGGTTGTGACGATGATACCGTTGAAGATGATGTTGGTTGTGACGGTGATACCGTTGTAGACGATGTTGGTTGTGACGGTGATACCGTTGTAGATGATGTTGGTTGTGACGGTGATACCGTTGTAGATGATGTTGGTTGTGACGGTGATAGTGTTGTAGATGATGTTGGTTGTGACGGTGATACCGTTGTAGATGATGTTGGTTGTGACGATGAAACCGTTGTAGATGATGTTGGTTGTGACGGTGATACCGTTGTAGATGATGTTGGTTGTGACGGTGATACCGTTGTAGATGATGTTGGTTGTGACGGTGATACCGTTGTAGATGATGTTGGTTGTGACGATGATACCGTTGTAGATGATGTTGGTTGTGACGGTGATACCGTTGTGGATGATGTTGGTTGTGACGGTGATACTGTTGTTAATGATGTTGGTTGTGACGATGATACCGTTGTAGATGATGTTGGTTGTGACGATGATACCGTTGAAGATGATGTTGGTTGTGACGATGATACCGTTGAAGATGATGTTGGTTGTGACGGTGATACCGTTGTAGATGATGTTGGTTGTGACGGTGATACCGTTGTAGATGATGTTGGTTGTGACGATGATACCGTTGAAGATGATGTTGGTTGTGACGGTGATACCGTTGTAGATGGTGTTGGTTGTGATGATGAAACCGTTGTAGATGATGTTTGTTGTGACGTTGATACCGTTGTAGACGATGTTGGTTGTGACGGTGATACCGTTGTAATTGATGTTGGTTGTGACGGTGATACCGTTTAAGACGATGTTGGTTGTGACGGTGATACCGTTGTAGATGGTGTTGGTTGTGACTATGAAAGACATCGTCTACGTGTGAATGTTTCAACGTTCACTGAACAGCAAACCGCAACATTAGAGACAGGGTGTCGCAACTTTCAACGTCTGTATTGACTCAATACTTCCCCCTTTTATAATCTCACCCGCGAAAATTGGGGTTAGAATTGATTTTCAGTAACCCATGCTTGTCGTAGGAGGCGACTAACGGGATCGGGTGGTCAGACTCGCTGACCTGGTTGACACATGTCATCGGTTCCCAATTGCGTAGATCGATGTTCATGTTGTTGATCACTGGATTGTCTGGTCCAGACTCGATTATTTACACACCGCCGCCATGTAGCTTGAGTGCGGCGTTAAACAACAAACCTACCAACCGAGCAACCTTATATAATCTTCAATCGTTTCACACAGGCGAAATCCAACCTCGTCCTTGTAAGCTGACGTATGCGTAACTCGGGTCAAAGATCCAACGTATAAATAAAGTTCAATGATTTATTTTAAAATCTGTTCACGTCGATCCGGTATTCAAGGAAATATATATTTATTCCTGGTATCACGGTAAATATGTTATTATTATTATTGGATATTTATATAGCGCATATATCCAGTCACTATTGCATGCTCCAGGCGCTGATATTTTTTCCCTCGATCTTTGGATGTCAATCTCAACGGAACATCTTATTATCAATCTCAACTCCCTGAGCATCATACAACTCTTGCTGCCACAAGGCGCACCGAGTTATTGCGGCTTCATCCTTACGAGGTACCCATTCACAGCTGGGTGGACTGGGACACATAGTCACAGTACTTTGTCCAAGTTCACTGCACGTTGCTGTACCAGCAACTGGGTGTTTTTCGCCGCTTTTAGCAATATTCAGCAACATCACGGCGGGAACACCAGAAATGGGCTTCACACATTGTACCCTTGTGGGCAATTGAACCGTGTCTTCGGCTTCAAGAGAGAACTCCTTAACCGCTAAGCTACCCCACCGCCCCGATTTATAAATTAGCGTTGGTTTAGATGTCATAAGTTTACATTTGTACTCTAAATTAACATCAGAATTAACAATGAGGACAAGGATACAGCGCATGTCAGTTTATGCTTGTATGAGAAGGAATATTTCGGTGATTAAGTTTCTCATCGATGATGAAACTACCTTTTCTTAATATATCAACCAGCGCGGTGGGGTAGCCTTGTGGATAAAGCGTTCTCTCGTCACTCCAAAGACCCAAGTTCGATTCCCTACATAGGTATAGTCCGTTTGGCTCAAAAGCGGACCGATGAATTGCAATCTAACTCGAAAACTAATAAACATAAAATACTCAATGAAACGCTGATCATAATCAAAACATCATACCCACTCTGTGAGGTTTTTGCAGAATTTTTGTCCTAAAAATGAAAAAGGTGTTAAACAATCTATCATTAAAATATTGACACAGTTCACTATTTTTTACGAGGGAGGAGTGCAGAGAAAGGGACAGCCAGGTGTTCGAGAACGGATGGAGACGGCACAGCACAGGTTAATGAATAAATAACTTTGCCTGAAAACGTGCTTCGCGAACACCTGGCTGTCCCTTCCTCTGCACTCCTCCCTCGGTCAGTCAGTCAGTCCAAGCCTTAAGAAGCGGACGTAAAATATATCATTGTAGTGTACATGTGGGTTTGTTGTTTAACGCCGCACTCAGCAATATTCCAACTATTTGGGTTCGATCTTTAAATAATAGAGTCTGGATCAAACAATCCACTGATCAACAGCATGAGCATCGATCTACACAATTAGGATACAATGACATGTGTCAACTAAGACAGCAAGCCTGACCACCCGATCCCGTTAATCACCTTCTTCGACAAGCATGTTTGCTGAAGGCCAGTTCTAACCGGGATTTTCACGGGTGTATGCGTTTCCTTGGATTTTTTTAAACATCGTGGTAAGGGATTAACTTGGTACCTACAATTTGGATCTATTGAAATAATACACATTTGTCGTTCCTTTCTATGTCGTTCTGCGTGGGAGTGAATGAATATGGCTTTACACCGCTTTATTCACCACAGGCCAGAAATGGGCTTAACCCACTGTACACTTTGGAATCGAACCCGGGTCTTCGGCGTGAGGAGCTAACGCGTAAACCGCTGGGCTACCCACTGTAATGTACAATGAAAGCGTTTGTCCATCATCCTCGTGGTTGTGTCAAAGGAGACTGAATGTAAAACGGTGGATAGCCTGGTACGTAAACCGTTTGCTCGTCACGCCGATGACCCGTGTTCGAATCCTCACATGGTGCAGTGGGTGAAGCTTCACGTCTTGTGATTGCAGATACCGTACGCCGTATTGGAATATGCGCATGAGTCTGGTCGACAGCGCTTGTTGTATACGCCCCTGACACCCCCGCTTACACCCCAAACACCACAGCAGGCTCGGGGGTACGCCCCGTCTGTCTACAGAGATACATTTCAAACGGAGGTGAGATACAGTAAGGGAGGCTTATCGTAGTCGTCGTCGTCATCATCATCATCAACATCATCATCATCATCATCATCATCATCATCATCATCATCATCATAATCAATACATATGTATAGTATGACCAGAAATTATTGAGAATTTTAGGAATATGTTTAATTGGATTTCTAATATAAACAACCTTGACCAGCTATCAAGTGCTTGGTTTCATTCAAGAGAGACAACTCCGTTAATCTTTGTTCATTAGTTTGTGATGAGTTATCCCCCTTTATTTACTTGCTAGCAGACGACATTTTCAGTGATCCTCACTTAGAGAAGAGGAAGTTGATTTTAGAGTATTATAACAAGGACATCAAATCAGCTAAAGTGATTTCAAGTAGAACAGGCATCCCTTTGTCCACTGTTTATCGTGTTATGAAAAATATTGCAAATGGATATGGCATTGAGCACCAGGGAGGCGCAGGTAGGCCCAGAAAATTGACTGTCGGTGACAGGAGGCGGCTTGGTATTCTTGTTTCTAAAAACAAACGAAGGAGTTTACAAAACTTAAGGCTGGATATGATTGATAGAGGAAATGTGACTGTCCGTAAGGAGACAATTAGAACTCAGCTGCATGCAATGGGTTGGCAGAAAAGTCGAGGAATTGCATCACCGATCATGAAACCTGAACAAAAGGAGCGAAGGTTTAACTGGTGCTTACAGCATAGAAAGTTTAACTGGGACAATGTGATTTTCTCAGATGAAAGTTCGGTGTGACCGTTTCCTAATACACTGAAATTCTGGACCAAACAACCTGAAAAACCTTTGTATCAGCGCCCCAAGTACAGTCCGAAATTTAACGTGTGGGGTGGCATATCTGTGTTAGGGGCAACGCCCCTCTGTGTATGTGAAGGGAATATGAACAGTGAGCGGTACACATATATTCTCGAGGGACATTTACTTCCATCTGCTCACGTGTTCTATGGACATTTTTGGATTTTCCAGCAGGACAACGACCCAAAACATCGTTCAAAGCATTCACAGGCCTGGTTTCGGACCCAAAATATGACATTATTAGATTGGCCAAGCTATAGCCCTGACCTAAATCCAATAGAAAATGTATGGGGACTTATGAAGGAAAGTGTCAATAAGAAATAGCTGACAAATATTACTGAAATGAAAGAAGAGGCGGTCCGATATTCGGACAGCATCGACCACGACTTTCTAACTTCTTTGATCAGTAGTATGCCCCGCCGCATTGAAGCCTGCATTGCTGTCGATGGTGACTTGACAAAATACTAACTGTTCACCTGTCTTTGAATCTGGAGTTATGTTCTGCTAATATTCACATTTAATACGTGAGTAATGAGTGACAAAAAATTTAAAAAATACAATCTTTAAATTCTCAATAATTTCTGGTTGTACTGTATTTATGTATGTGTTGTTGTTTATATCGCCTCTGTCCCGTTCACGTTACCAGCTGCAACATTTCATCAAAATCATCATCATAATCATCATCATTAATAAACTTGTATATATCTCAGCAATTTGTTGTTGTTGTTTGAACCGCTCCAACCCCGTCCACGCTACCAACATTAATATATCATCATCATTATCATCATCATCATCATCAATACTAATACATGTGTATGTATTTTTGTGTTGTTTATAACGCCTCATCCCCGTTCACGGGCGCGGTGGGCGAACTGGCTAAAGCGCCAGGCTAGTGATCCAGCGAGCTTGAGGTGACGGGATCGAGCCCACCTGTGACCGGGTGTAAAAACCTTGGAGTCAACTTTGTGTGCAGACTCTTTCAGTGTTGTCACAACCCCTAGTGTACAGTACACAACCCTGTGCACTTAAAAGAACCCACGAATCCGTTGGTATATGACCAGATGGTGGCCACATGAATACGTGCAAACACCCAGTTGCGGGTACAGCAACGTGCAGTAAACATGGACAAAGTACTGTGACTATGTGTCCCAGTCCACCCAGCTGTAAAATGGGTACCTCGTAAGGATGGGAATGCCACAATAACTCGGTGCGCCTAGTGGCTGCAAGAGTTGTATGCTCCCCAGGGAGTTGAGATTGACAATACGATGTGCCGTTGAGATTGACATCCAGTGAACGAGGGAAAAAACTTTAGCGCCTAGAGAAATTGCCTTGCAGTTTGATTTGTGCGCTATACAAGAACACTTATTATTATTATTATTATTATCATCATCATCATCATCATCATCATCATCATCATCATCATCATCATCATCATCAATATCATCATCATGAATAAATGTGTATATATTTCAACAATGTGTTGTCGTTTCAAACGCCCCAATCCGTCCACGTTACCATCACCATCATCATCATCATCATTAACAACAAAAGCGTTGGAGGGTTTCCTGTGTGTTTTAACATGCTTGAAAGTGTGAGCATGCGTGCGTATGTGCCTTCGAGTGTGGGTGTGGATGGGGGTTCGTGCTTGCGCACACACACGTGTGTTTATGTAAATCCGAGCCGTCCTGTCCTTGCTTTATTCCTGAATATTGAGCGTCAGATATGACACGTGAGTGGTATATATATTTGTGCGTAATAGAATGGGTTCCCTTTGCACTATACTTTTGAGTAATTTCGGATGAAAGCTAAAGGAACTTGACACTCACCGATCTCAATTTACACTCTCAGCTCCCTGGGGAATATACAACCCAACTCGGAGACGCTAAAACATTACTAGTCATATCTACTCCTACCGGGTACCCATTCACTGATAAGTTACCAGATGCATATTTCGAACAAAGTCGCCTATGCAGACATCACTAACCAAACTTACCCTCCACGTTACTCTCGCCCTCGACGTTCCTTAGCGTTAAGGGTGACACGTACGCTGTACCAAGAAGGAATCGTATCCCAACTGCATAGATCGATGCTCATGCTGTTGATCACTGGATTGTCTGGTCCGGACTCGATTATTTACAGACCGCCGTCATATAGCTGGAATATTGCTGAGTGCGGCGTAAAACAACAAACAAACCAAGAATGACATAAACAAGCCAAAGGCTATCAACTTGACATCTCCTTTGTCTAACTCTATTTGTAACGTTAACTAAAAACAATCATATTACCAATACATGTCTCCCTGCTCCAGGGACACAGAGAGTCAACATATCGAGACAGCTGGCCCCAGTTCAGTCACCACCCAGCGGCAACCAGACCTCTGTATGTGCACACACAACCATGGCTGCCCTCTGAACCCTCATCCAGTTTAGGGTCAAGGTCACAGATGCTGGAGATACCAATCTCTGACAGCATGACGCCAGAATCCCGCCAGATGATGCTGGAGAAGGTGACCAAAGTGGTGGCAGAACATACGGACGGTAAGTGAGTGAGTAAGAGAGAGAGTGAGTGAGTAAGAGAGAGAGTGAGCGAGTCAGTGAGTCAGTGCGTGAGTCAGTGAGTAAGGTTTAACACTGATTTTAGCAATTTCACGGCGGGGGACACCAGAAATGGCCTGATACATTGTACCCATGTGGGGAATCGACCCGGGTCTTCAGCGTGACGAGTCAAGCTGTAACCACTAGGCTACTCCACCGCCCCCACGGACGGTAATAACACTGCGTGAATTTCAAAACGTTTACCTCAAGTAACGTGGATGGGTGTTATACAACGATGAGCATGATACTCGACTACTGTGTAAGTGCACTAAATATTGCTGTTCACGGAAATACTTCGAGTTATCCAAAGTTCGACTCAACCGAAAAAAATGACTATTGAAAGTGTCAAGCCTTTACTTCGAACAGCCGGAAGTTCGACACACTTAAATGTTCGACATAACGGCATTGGACTACATGCTGAATCGGAGCCACAGTCCTTGTTTTCTTTCCATAATGTCGAGCACAAGCAGGCTAAAATCATCTCGAGGTATTGGAGTCTACCTTGTTAAAAAGTTTCTCCATATGTCAGTTCGGATGAGGTAATCGACTCTTGGGGGTAATAATCCCCGCTTAGTTTGCCGGACGCTGATCCCTGTTATTCAGATTTTTTTTTTTTCACAGAACAAAGGGAAGAATTCCCGCTCCAAGATCCACCGAAGCCGAAATATAAACGCCAGTTGTCAGAAGACAGTTCGGCCCCGAATGTTTCCATGGCAACAAGGTATGACAATCCACCCCAGTCACCTAGGCACGCCTACACCGCACCCAAAACACCCCAGCCGGAGTCTGCCCATAAGACCTTCACCTTCGCCATAGATGAGGACAGAGGTCAAATGTCACCAAAAAGAGTCAAGACTGACAGCGGCGTGGCCCGCCCCGCGATGTCCCCATTAGTCCATTCCGAAGTCCAGCAGCCTTGGTCTAACCCCCCGCGGCGTAACGAACAACCCCCAATCTTCCAATTCCCCGATGTTTCTGAAGCCAGGGAGACACATCTACGACTGTACCCTGAAGAGGATCGCCAGGTGTATCTTCCCAGAGCTACACGATGCTCCGAAGAACGGCTTCTGGAACATCCTCAGTGGCACCCGAACGACCAAAGAATCCCCGACCGACTCTATCCACCATCACGAGAGCTATACGCGGGTCCACCAATGGTGCCAAGAGAATATTCCAAGTACCAAAGAGTTGTCCCAGGACAATGTTCTCCGGAGAAGTATCACTGGAGGAACCCCTATGTCCGAAGTGACCCTCCAGTTGGTCAGCTCCAACAGCTGCAAAGGGGCAGTGAGGTCAGGCAAGTGACCAACTCGACCCTCAAACGAACGCCAACAGTCAGGAGTCAGAGCAACATCGAATACTCCCCAAGCAAGAGCGAGCTGGAACAAATGGAAAAAGACAAATATTCCCGGTCAGTCTCCAAACCGGAAGGTCCTGTTGGGATGCACCATTTACAACGACAATACGCCACCAAGGAAAACGTCAACGGGTACTACGGCTGCCATGGCGAGGCAGCCTTCCCGGCAGAACGACCGGTAGAGTGGGTAGGTCAATTTGGGGTATTTCACGTTATGTGGATGAACTAATCGTTGTAGTCGTTGTAGTAGTAGTATTTGTAGCAGCAGTAGTATAAATGGCATGTAGTGGTAGCTGTAGCAGCAGCAATAGTAGTTTAAATGGTTTGTAGTAGTGGTAGTAATAGTAGTAGTAGTAGTAGTAGCAGCAGCAATAGTAGTTTAAATGGTTTGTAGTTGTAGTAGTAGTAGTAGTAGTAGTAGCAGTAGCAGTAGCAGTAGCAACAGCAGTTAAAATGGTCTGTAGTAGTAGTTGTAGAAGTAGTAGTAGCAGCAGTAGTAGTGGTAATAGCAGCAGCAGTAGTAGTAGTGGTAGTAGTAGTAGTAGCAGCAGCAGCAGTAGTAGTAGTAGTAGTAGTAGTAGAGGTGGTAGTTGTAGCAGCAGCAGCAGAAAGTTGATGTGCAACAAACGGAACAAATATTTCGACTTGGGGAGACTATACAGACCTGTTTTCCTGGAAGCCCTTATTGAGTTATCCTCCAATTCCATACGGTCTTGTAGTAGCAGGAGTAGTAGCAGCAACAGCAGTAGTAGTAGTGGTGGTGGTGGTGGTGGTGGTAGTAGTAGTAGTAATAGTAGAAGTAGTAGTAGCAGCAGCAGTAGTAGAAATAGTAGTAGCAGCAGCAGTGGTAGTAGTAGTAGTGGTGGTGGTGGTGGTAGTAGTAGTAGTAGTAGTCGTGGTGGTAGCCCAATTTACGCCTGATATATATGTGACAATGTAATTATGTTTCCTAATTTGTTTCAAACGCAGAGCCTGTACCAGGACGCAGGCAGACAGGGAGCGTGCCGACAGCTATTCGGAACATCGGAACCATGTAAGCCTTGTTTTTACTCCGTGCTTTGTACTGAATAATCATCCGTGAAGATCCGGGTTAGAAGTGGTTTTCAGCAACCCATGCTTGTCATTAGAGGCGACGAAGGGGATCGGGTGGTCAGGCTTGCTGACTTTGTTGACACATGTCATCGTATCCCAGTTGCGTAGATCGATGCTCCTGCTGTTGATCACTGGATTGCGTAAAATTAAACTCACTCACTATTGAATATATCTACATATAGTTGCGCCCCTTAGTACAGTCAGGATCTGCTTTAAATTGCGTTATAAAGTCTTGAATGCGTTTTCATGTTGGTCTGAATGTTTTGTTGTTGTAATTGTCACTCTACAACTCCTCAGGTTACAGTAGAGGACCGACATACCGTAGTCCCTCGGATATACGTGACTCCTACACGCCCCACATCTCACAACGAGGCCAGCTGGTTGGTTCAAACGACAATTACGACATCTATGTTGTGCCTCACGAGCCTCGTTCTGAATCAGTGACGTCACGTCCGGCGACATCAGAGGATGGTAATGAGATGGTTTACGTACAGCCACGCCGGCAATCGATTTCCTGTTCTCGAGATACTTGCAGAAATGTATCGATGGTGCAGGGAAGATTGTCCCCGGAGAAGAAACATCAGAAAGGTGGGTGCCCATGCTCCTGTTTACGGTGGTGTAGCCAAGTAGTTAAAGCGTTTGCTCGTCACGCCAAAGACCCGGGTTCGATTCCCCACCTGGGTTCAAAACGTGAAGCTCATTTCTGGTGTCCCTCGCGGTGATATTGCTGGAATATTGTCAAAGGCGGCTTAAAACCATACTCACTCACTCACTCACTCACTTCAATGGAAACCGCCTCCGTGGTGTAGTGGTTAGAGCGTCCGCCCGGAGAGCGGAAGGTCGCGGGTTCGATCCCCGACCGCGTCATACCAAAAGACGTTAAAATATGGTACTTGTTGGTCCCTGCTTGGCGCTCGGCATTAATGGGTACAACAAGGACTGGTCGGCTCGGAGTCAGTATAATATGTCTGAGTGGGATATTCATGCTTCACTGCGGCATGGTATCTCAGTGGGCTAGCACTATAAAACCAGCTTCAGTCTGGGCTAGTACAAGCAGCCTCACATACACATACACAAGCATGCACATCGTCATATGAGCGAAATATTCTCAAGCACGACGATAAACCCAATTTCACCTCACCTCACCTCACTTCAATGGAGCGGTGTCACTGGTTATCCAGTATTTAACAACCGCTGCGGCGTTAAACAAGATTCATTCACTGTAGCTATAGTTATCTGAACTCGATATACCAGCATTCAAAGCTATCGTTAGTGGTGAAGATGATCCTGGTAATGTTTGAGTCTCGGTGAGTGAGAGAGTGCCCGGTTCATATCCAGCGAACAATGCCTGCAGCAGTGTTCCGGCCTGCCCGACCGTCCGGAACGGTCTATCTTCATCTCGGACGGTCAAATTTCAAAAGTAACCTGTCGGGTGGTCTGGTAGATGTGTTTACCCCTGTATTTCATAATATCAGACAGGTTTTCTTTTTCGTCAGTTTGGGGTGTTTAAGGTATTATGAAAATTATGTAAAACTATTTACGATTGGAGAGTTCATTTTACAATAACCAATCACAACAGTTGTACTTTCAGTTTACCTAAACTCGGTGCATTGCCTGTTAGTGCTATGTTGTTCATTGCGATGCGTGCAAACAGTAAAGTATTAAGAAAACTGATTTTTGTTTTCATTGTTGAAAACCGGACAGGCAACTTTGTATCCGGACTGGTAATTTTTTAAAGTTACCAGTCCGGCTGTCTGGCTTGGAATTTTGTGAGTTGTAAACACTGCCTGCAGTCGACCCTGGAAGTGCGATACATGCAGCTGGTTCTCACGAATTGAGAACGCGAGGGTTGGTACTTCTCAAAATGAAATAGAACTGTAAAAATGTATTTTAAAACCAATCATTTCGATGCAGAGAAAAACACTTCAACGAGTGAGTGGGTATGGGTTTATGCAGCCATTAGCAATACTACAGCAATATCAAGGTGGGGGGACTCAAAGACAAGGGAGCTCATTGGCTAAAAATAAAATATGTCCTATCAAATCGCTGACTCTTTTCAGTGCGGGGCAGGTTAAGGCCAAGGTCGTCAATGGCGAACAGGCACGACACAATTCTGTTTGAGGTGAATAAATGTACGTAAACTCATTATGACAGTGAGATGTAAGTGTCTCCGAAAGAATGGCGACTAGCGCGCTGACACGTGCCATCAGTTCAACATGTTTGGGTGCATGTCGTTTGTGTATACTGTGAAATAAACAAGAAAATGGGTGAGTTACCGCTACAAAATCTGAGCAGGGATTTTAGATCGGAATCGAGAAATCACGATTTTCGAGCTTCCGCAGACCCTAGCTCCCAAAGTACTGCTTCGATTTTTGTGCTGTATGTCTCATTTTGTAGGGAAATCTATTGGCTTGAAATGTGTGCATACTTTAAATGGGATAAATACAGTGAGCATTGTTGAATCCGCCCTGAAACAGACTTGGTGTGTTGACCTCGTTACATCCCTTTCCTTTTATATAGTACTAAGACCCCGTCAGTGACAGTATATACCTTGATGGCAGTTTTCAGCGTTACAAGCCCCTGAGTGTGTGTGTGTTGTAGAGTAGAGTGTTACACAGCTTTTAGCAGTTATCTACCAAATTCTGTTTGTGGGGGGTAGGGACTACAGAATTGGGCTGCACATATTGTATAAGGGGAATCGAACCAGGGTCTTTGGCGTGATGAGCGAACGTTTTATCCACTCGGCTTCCCCACAATGTAACACTAGGATCAAAGCAGTTTGTTCTTTTTTGTGTGTGTGTGTGTGTGTGTGTGTGTGTGTGTGTGTGTGTGTGTGTGTGTGTGTGTGTGTGTGTGTGTGTGTGTGTGTGTGTGTGTGTGTGTGTGTGTGTGTGTGTGTGTGTGTGTGTGTGTGTGTGTGTGTGTGCAGTGTTCGGAAGAGTTGAGGTGCGTGCGTGTGAGGGAATACGTGCGTGCAAATCCCGGGCAGTAAGAGTTGAGGTGATGTAAGGGAATACGTAAAGCAAATCCCGGGGCAGTAATATGGCGTCATTGGGCCTGATAGGGGAGCGAGTCAGTCAGTCAGTGAAATATCAATATATCAAGTTTGGCCCAAGCTTCTTATGATACTAAAGTTCAACGAGTGTGCAGTGTCAGACTTTAATTACTTCAAACCAACTGGCCAGGGCTCGTTGCTAAACAAAATATGAATCATAACCAGGGCGCATTAGGACTGCAATAATCTTCATTTTTTTAATTACAGGTCAACAGATCGACATCAAAATTAAATGCCAGGACATCGCTCAAAATGTTCAGGAACTGTCGGAGAAGCTTCAGATGAAGAAAACCACAAGCCCCTGCATTTGTGAAAAGGTTGAAGCGGCCATGTTGAAAAGTGCCAAAACAGCCTTCAACAAAATCCGGAGAGATGACCCGAGTCGAGAAAGTCACGAACGTTTTGAAAGAGAAATTACAGAAATAAACGCCACGTTGATGAACGCCCTGGAAACGGCTAAAGCTGTGAAAGATTTGTGTGGACGACACAGGAAGGTCACGGACATTTACACCGGAAGCGTTGTGATAGCAATGCAGTGTACAACTCTCGCTTCGCTCGAGACTTTGCGAGAACATTATAAAACTGGCGAGCTGAAACGACTGTTGTGCCAAAGTTTTGTAACCGAAAGGTTAAAAAAGGAGTTTGGAAATTTTATTTTGCTGTCTGTGTCTATATCAGAGGAAGACTTTGAAAGATGCAGGCGACGCTTAGGTAAATAGCAGTTATTTTTCTTCTGAAAGTTGTTGTCTGTATGTTTGTTGTTTTACGCCGCACACAGCAATATTCCAGCTATATGACGGCGGTCTGTAAATAATCGAGTCTAGACCAGACAACCCAGTGATCAAAAGCATGAGCATCGAACAACTGTGATACGATGACTTGTGAAAACCACTTCAGCCACCCAATCCCGTTAGTCCCCTTCACGACAGGCATGGGTTGCTGAAGACCAATTCTGACCCGGGTCTTGACGGGTCGTCTAGGATATGTAGATAGGTATTCAAGTAATTGTCAAATGAATGACGACCTGAAATAGTCAGTTAAATGTATTTGTCTAATTCAGTAACTATAAAAATGTAGGGTTGTCCAGTCGCTGTTAAGAGTTGCGTCCCTTCGGTACTTTGTCATCATCAGTCTCCAGTGCGTCCGTCCTGGTTACATGTCACATCTCTTCCCTCAGAGGAACCTCTCCGTGACGTCACGTGCCAAAGAAAGACACCTGCTCGGACACCTCGGACACCTGCAATGGTAATTCCAGAACTCATATCGTAGCGTGTAGTGAGATTATTGTATCGAAGTGTGTCTATTCTACCGTGGTGTTTCTATTGTATCGTAGAGATTCTGGTTTTTTGTAGAAGGTAGGGTGATTATTGTATCGTAGTGTGATTATTGTATCGGAGTGTGTCTGTTCTACCATGGTGTTTCTATTGTATCGTAGAGTGTACTGTGATTATTGTATCGAAGTGTGTCCATTCTATCGTAGTGTCTCTATTGTATCGTAGAAAGTAGTGTGATTATTGTATCGAAGTGTGTCTATTCTACGGTGGTGTTTCTATTGTATCGTAGAGATTCTGTTTTATCGTAGAAGGTAGGGTGATTCTTGTATCGTCGTGTGATTATTGTATCAAAGTGTGTCTATTTTACCGTGGTGTTTCTATTGTCTCGTAGAGATTCTGTTTTATCATAGAAGGTAGGGTGATTATTGTATCGTAGGGTGATTATTGTATCGAAGTGTGTCTATTCTACGGTGGTGTTTCTATTGTATCGTAGAGTGTAGTTTGATTATAGTATCGTGGTGTGTCTACTCTACCATAGTGTTTCTATTGTATCGTAGAGTGTAGTGTGATTATTGTATCGAAGTGTGTCTACTCTACCATGGTGTTTCTATTGTATCGTAGAGTGTAGTGTGATTATTGTATCGAAGTGTTATTCTACCATGGTGTTTCTATTGTATCGTAGAGTGTAGTGTGATTATTGTATCGTGGTGTTTCTATTGTATCGTAGAGAGTAGTGTGATTATTGTATCGTGGTGTGTCTACTCTACCATGGTGTTTCTATTGTATCGTAGAGCGTAGTTTGATTATTGTATCGTGGTGTGTCTACTTTACCATGATGTTTCTATTGTATCGTGAGCCGAGTGTGATTATTGTATCGCGGGTGGTGTTTCTATTGTATCGTAAGGAGTGTAGTGTGATTATTGTATCGGTGGTCTGTCTACTCTACCATGGTGTTTCTATTGTATCGTAGAGTGTAGTGTGATTATTGTATCGTGGTGCGTCTACTTCTACCGTGGTGTTTCTCATTGTATCGTAGAGAACGTAGTGTGATTATTGTATCGTGGTGTGTCTACTCTACCATAGTGTTTCTATTGTATCGTAGAGTGTAGTGTGATTATTGTATCGAAGTGTGTCTACTCTACCATGGTGTTTCTATTGTATCGTAGAGTGTAGGGTGATTATTGTATCGAAGTGTTTCTATTCTACCATGGTGTTTCTATTGTATCGTAGAGAGTAGTGTGATTATTGCATCGTGGTGTGTCTACTCTACCATGGTATTTCTATTGTATCGTAGAGTGTTGTGTGATTATTGTATCGAAGTGTGTATATTCTATCGTGGTGTCTCTATTGTATCGTAGAGTGTAGTGTGATTATTGTATCGAAGTGTGTCTATTCTATCGTGGTGTCTCTATTGTATCGAAGAGTGTAGTGTGATTATTGTATCGAAGTGTGTCCAGTCTACCGTGGTGTTTCTATTGTAGCGTAGAGTGTAGTGTGATTATTGTATCGAAGTGTGTCTATTCTATCGTGGTGTCTCTATTGTATCGTAGAGTGTAGTGTGATTATTGTATCGTGGTGTGTCTACTCTACCGCGGTGTTTCTATTGTATGGCTGAGCTTCTGTTTTATCGTAGAAGGTAGGGTGATAATTGTATCGTAGTGTGATTATTGTATCGAATTGTGTCTATTCTACCATGGTGTTTCTATTGTATGGTTGAGCTTCTGTTTTATCGTAGAAGGTAGGGTGATAATTGTATCGTAGTGTGATTATTGTATCGAAGTGTGCCTATTCTACCGTGGTGTTTCTATTGTATCGCAGGGCGTAGTGTGATTATTGTATCGTGGTGTGTCTATTCTACGGTGGCGTTTCTATTGTATCGTAGAGATTCTGTTTTATCGTAGAAGGTAGGGTGATTATTGTATCGAAGTGTGTCTATTCTACCATGGTGTTTCTATTGTATCGTAGAGTGTAGTGTGATTATTGTATCGTGGTGTGTCTACTCTACCGTGGTGTTTCTATTGTATCGTAGAGCGTAGTGTGATTATTGTATCGTGGTGTGTCTATTCTACCGCGGTGTTTCTATTGTATCGTAGAGTGTAGTGTGATTATTGTATCGTGGTGTGTCTATTCTACGGTGGTGTTTCTATTGTAATCATAGAGCGTAGTGTGATTATTGTATCGTGGTGCGCATCTAGTGCGTAGTGTGATTATTGTATCGTGCGTGGTGTCTATTCGTACGGTGGTGTTTCTATTGTATTGTATCAGAGCGTAGTGTGATTATTGTATCGTGGTGTGTCTACTCTACCATGGTGTTTCTATTGTATCGTAGAGTGTAGCGTGATTATTGTATCGTGGTGTTTCATTGATCGTAGAGTAGTGATTATTGTATCGTGGGTGTGTCTACTCTACCATGGTGTTTCTATTGTATCGTAGAGTGTAGTGTGATTATTGTATCGTGGTGTGTCTACTCTACCATGGTGTATTGTATCGTAGAGCCGTAGTGTGATTATTGTATCGTGGTGTGTCTATCTGCACCATGGTGTTTCTATTGTATCGTGGTGTTTTATTGTATCAGTGTATCTCTAGGGGTGTTTCTATTGTAGTGTGATTATTGTATCGTGGTGTGTCTACTCCACCACTGTTTCTATTGTATCGTACCATGGTGTTTCTATTGTATCGTGCGTAGTGTGATTATTGTATCGTGTGTATCTACCATGGTGTTTCTATTGTATCGTAGAGTGTAGTGATTATTGTATCGTGGTGCGTCTACTCTTACCATGGTGTTTCTATTGTATCGTAGAGCGTAGTGTGATTATTGTATCGTGGTGTTTCTATTGTATCGTAGAGTGTAGTGTGATTATTGTATCGTGGTGTGTCTACTCTACCATGGTGTTTCTATTGTATCGTAGAGTGTAGTGTGATTATTGTATCGTGGTGTGTCTACTCTACCATGGTGTTTCTATTGTATCGTAGAGCGTAGTGTGATTATTGTATCGTGGTGTGTCTACTCTACCATGGTGTTTCTATTGTATCGTAGAGTGTAGTGTGATTATTGTATCGTGGTGTGTCTACTCTACCATGGTGTTTCTATTGTATCGTAGAGCGTAGTGTGATTATTGTATCGTGGTGTTTCTATTCTACCATGGTGTTTCCATTGTATTAGAGCGTCGTGGTGTGTCTATTGCATCGTGGTGTTTCTATTGTATCGTAGAGTGTGTGATTATTGTATCGTGGTGTCTACTCTACCATGGTGTTTCTATTGTATCGTAGAGCGTAGTGTGATTATTGTATCGTGGTGCGTCTAATTTCTACCATGGTGTTTCTATTGCATCGTAGAGTGTAGTGTGATTATTGTATCGTGGGTGTGTCTACTCTACCATTGGCAGTTTCTATTGTATCGTAGAGCCGTGTAGTGTGATTATTGTATCGTGGTGTGTCTACTCTACCATGGTGTTTCTATTGTGATCGTTGAGCCGTGAGTGTGATTATTGTATCGTGGTGTTTCTATTGTATCGTAGAGCGTAGTGTGATTATTGTATCGTGGTGTGTCTACTCTACCATGGTGTTTCTATTGTATCGTAGAGCGTAGTGTGATTATTGTATCGTGGTGTGTCTACTCTACCATGGTGTTTCTATTGTATCGTAGAGCGTAGTGTGATTATTGTATCGTGGTGTCTACTCTACCATGGTGTTTCTATTGTATCGTAGAGTGTAGTGTGATTATTGTATCGTGGTGTGTCTACTCTACCATGGTGTTTCTATTGTATCGTAGAGCGTAGTGTGATTATTGTATCGTGGTGTTTCTATTGTATCGTAGAGCGTAGTGTGATTATTGTATCGTGGTGTGTCTACTCTACCATGGTGTTTCTATTGTATCGTAGAGCCTAGTGTGATTATTGTATCGTGGTGTTTCTATTGTATCGTAGAGCGTAGTGTGATTATTGTATCGTGGTGTGTCTACTCTACCATGGTGTTTCTATTGTATCGTAGAGTGTAGTGTGATTATTGTATCGTGGTGCGTCCACTCTACCATGGTGTTTCTATTGTATCGTAGAGCGTAGTGTGATTATTGTATCGAGGTGTAGTGTGTATCGTAGAGTGTATGTGATTATGTATCGTGGTGTCTACTCTACCATGGTGTTTCTATTGTATCGTAGAGCGTAGTGTGATTATTGTATCGTGGTGTTTCTAGAGCTGCGTAGTGTGATTATTGTATCGTGGTGTGTCTACTGTATCTATTGTAGAGCGTAGTGTGATTATTGTATCGTGGTGTGTCTACTCTACCATGGTGTTTCTATTGTATCGTAGAGCGTAGTGTGATTATTGTATCGTGGTGTGTCTACTCTACCATGGTGTTTCTATTGTATCGTAGAGCGTAGTGTGATTATTGTATCGTGGTGTGTCTACTCTACCATGGTGTTTCTATTGTATCGTAGAGTGTAGTGTGATTATTGTATCGTGGTGTGTCTACTCTACCATGGTGTTTCTATTGTATCGTAGAGCGTAGTGTGATTATTGTATCGTGGTGTTTCTATTGTATCGTAGAGTGTAGTGTGATTATTGTATCGTGGTGTGTCTACTCTACCATGGTGTTTCTATTGTATCGTAGAGCGTAGTGTGATTATTGTATCGTGGTGTTTCTATTGTATCTTAGAGCGTAGTGTGATTATTGTATCGTGGTGTGTCTACTCTACCATGGTGTTTCTATTGTATCGTAGAGTGTAGTGTGATTATTGTATCGTGGTGTGTCTACTCTACCATGGTGTTTCTATTGTATCGTAGAGTGTAGTGTGATTATTGTATCGTGGTGTGTCTACTCTACCATGGTGTTTCTATTGTATCGTAGAGCGTAGTGTGATTATTGTATCGTGGTGTGTCTACTCTACCATGGTGTTTCTATTGTATCGTAGAGCGTAGTGTGATTATTGTATCGTGGTGTGTCTACTCTACCATGGTGTTTCTATTGTATCGTAGAGCGTAGTGTGATTATTGTATCGTGGTGTGTCTACTCTACCATGGTGTTTCTATTGTATCGTAGAGTGTAGTGTGATTATTGTATCGTGGTGTGTCTACTCTACCATGGTGTTTCTATTGTATGTAGTGTGATTTGTATCGTGTATCGTACCAGGTGTTTTCGTAGTGTGATTAGCGTAGTGCGATCGTTGTATCGTGGTGTGTCTACTCTACCATGGTGTTTCTATTGTATCGTAGAGTGTAGTGTGATTATTGTATCGTGGTGTGTCTACTCTACCATGGTGTTTCTATTGTATCGTAGAGCGTAGTGTGATTATTGTATCGTGGTGTGTCTACTCTACCGTGGTATTTCTATTGTATCGTAGGGTGAAGTGTGTCGTAATCGTAATGGGTCTGTTTCAGTGGGTCTTTTGCATCGAGTCACATTTATCGCAGAGCGTGTATTCTGTCACAGTGTGTCTGTCGTACCATACTGTGTCTATTGTATCTTACTGTCGTATTTTTCATCGTGTCATATTACGTCTATCATACTGTATAGTCCCGTAGTATTGACTTCCGTCTTGTATTCATTGTATCTTATTGTATCCATCGGATTGTATTTTCGCATCACGCAATGTATCAGCCAAATATGGACAAATGAAATGTAACGCTACACCAAATTAACCCTGACATTCCTCCTCAGCTATCTCCATCAAAGAGGATCACCAAGAGCGCCGACGGCCTGGAGAACATCCCGTCAATGCCGCCAACCCCGGTGAATCACTGTCGTAGTGCCTCCACCCCAGTCCTGATGACGTCATCACCACTGTCTAGTCCCACCCACATCACAAGGTCCCCCTGTACCCCCACCAAGAGGGACCGGGTGTTTTCCTTCACCGGCAGATGCCCCACCCCATCCCGACAAAGGAACCTGTCACTGTCGTCAGCCGGAGATATCTCACCGCGAAGAATATTTCAACACATGTAAGTATTCATAGTTAACTGACAGGTAAATGAGTGAGTGAGTTTAGTTTGACCCCGCAATATTCCAGCTGTATGGCGGCGGTCTGTAAATAATCGAGTCTGCACCACAGACAACCCAGTGATCAACAGCATGAGCATCGATCTGCGCTATTGGGAACCGATGACATGTGTCATCGAGTCTGACCACCCGATCCCGTTAGTCACCTCTTACCACAAGCATGGGTTACTGAAGTTCAGTATTCTAACCCGGACCTTCACGGGTTAACTGGCAGGTAAAAGATACAAAGGCGGATACAGCTTTTTGAGAAAGGTGTTTTTTTGTTTGTTTGTTTTTTGTTTGTTTTTTTGGGGGGGGTTGTTTGCACGGTTCTTTTTCTCCCGTTTTCCCCGCCGCCATGTTGCTGACGTATTGGTACAACGATCATATTTGCATAGGTCAGATCGAGGCACCTAGTCACCGGCGGAGAATGCCTGAGTGGTTAGATCACTGACTCTGTGCGCTAGCAATTAGTTGCCGCACTCTGAGAGTATGGGTTCGAATCCCGGATCAGACTCAACGCCGCACCCCCTCCCCCAAACCCCAAAATGTACTAGAATTTCTTACATCTTAACATGTCAGCTTCGTGTTGGTTAAAAGCTCAAAATCATGGAGCTTGCGTTTGTGATGTGGAGCAGGTCGTTGGGGAACCAGGTTACTGGTGAAGGTCCGGGTTAGATTTGGCCTTCAGTAACCCATGCTTGTCGTAAGAGGCGACTAACGGGATCGGGTGGTCAGGCTCGCTGACTTGGTTGACCGTGTCATCGTATCTCAATTGTGTAGATCAATGCTTATGTTGTTGATCACTGGATTGTCTGGTCCAGACTCGATTAATTACAGACCGCCTCCATATAGCTGGAATATTGCTGAGTGCAGCGTAAAACTAAACTCACTCACTCACTCGGTACAAACTGTCACTATATCCTGTTTGCAGTGAAAACGTACCGATGAATTTCATTTTAAACAAAGGAGTAAATGAAATAAAGTGAAATTAAGATTGCGAATCCTCATAATTTTACCTTGCCAATTGAACATTTAAATCTCAGAATTTTATTTAACTTACAATAAAAGTTGTTTAACAAACTATCATAGTTTCAAAGCACTATTATTAGTTTGTATTACAAGGGGGTAAGTCCAGAAGTTGGAACAGTGAAACAAATGCTCGTGCGGTACGTGATGAATGTTAACTTATACCACCGTAGAAACCAATCCTTCTTGTTCTCGGGGTTTCATTTAATGTGTATACCCCCTTGTAATACAATCCAATAATAGCGATGTGAAACAATGATCGTTTGTTAAACAACTTTTATCCTAAGTTGAATAAAATTCTGAAACTTTATTGTTCAATTGGCAAGGTAACATTATGAGGATTTGCGATCTTAATTTCACTTTATTTCATTTACATTTTTGTTTAAAGTGAAATTCATCGGTACGTTTTCACTGCACACAGACTATAACTGGCAACTAACAAAAACGATAGGTATGTAGTTTGCTCTTTTCACAATCTTTCTACAAAAAACACACATAAATTCAGTTATCATCATCATCATCATCATCATCATCATCACTTTATTCTTATTATTGTTTTCAGAAATTCTGACAGTCCCCCATGTTCACCGTCCAAGAAATCCTTCACATTCATCGACGCTTACAGCCAACAGTCTTCCCCGAGGCTCCGTAAGAGTCTTGAAGACATAACGTCCGATCTCGAGAATGTGTCCGTCCACCGGTAACAGACGTCTGATTAGACAGAGCAGACTATGTCACGACAGTTGGCATGGACGTACGCGACACTCATATTCAAACAGTTTACAGCTGGCTCTCCATGCGTTCAACGAACAAATACTTTCATTACATATATACTGAGGAAAATAAATAAGGGAACACCACTTCATGGCAGTGTTCTTTTATTTATTCTCAGATTTCCTCCCAGAGCGCTATTCAAAGCTGGTGATGAATACTGTAAAATATTACAGGAACACACTTTCCTGATTTCCTGAACACAGAACTTCCCTGTGATCCTTTATTTGTTTCTCTCAGTATATATGTCAAAAATGGCCGATGTCTGCACGTCTTTGCTGAAGGCTGTTAATATTTATTATCATACCTCACACATAAATGTCGTTTTCTGATTGGCTGAGCGCTCTTCTATTATTTTCAGTGTACACCGCTTACAAACGAGTAACATTTCTATGTTACCCGGTGGGAATGCCGAATTGTGGCAATTCATTTGGTACTTCGTGTTAGTACTTTTTTATCTCGAATAATTGAGTCACGTATAATGTATGGAATTTACCGATGTTTTACGAATGTAAATCGATGGAAGGGAGACAACTCTAAATTTGTGTTTCTTGTCTGCTTGATTCGATGTCATCTGAAAATCTACATTCAAGTATTGGCTAATTGCCTAACTCTGGTACTCATTGTTATGATCCGATACCTGTGCTTCAAACAGTTTAAAATTAACACTGAAGTGTTCGGTAAGATATTTACGTCGTTCACTGGTCCCTCGGGCCAAGGAGTTAATGTACCCGTCATGACCAGTGAACAACTTATACTGTGCCTTCCATGAATCCCGGTCATAATGTGACCTATTGTTAGCCGGTGTTACACAAGTTGCTCTCATTAAATTGTATCGGTCGATGAGAAAGGTTCTTGTTTTAAAATACCACAATGACTGGATAATGCCTCCTTTAAATTTTGGATAATTAATATTTTAATTTTGACGTCAGTGGTTGCACGGCTCGACCAGCGAGTTATGACGTCATCGTGACGTCATTGTTTGTAAGGTTCAACAAGTATGATGTAATGTTTTATAAATGACGTGGTTGATTGTATGCTTCGACCAAGCAATAATGTCGCCCCGTTGATGTCACAGCTCGTACGACAAAGAGTATACACGTGAGAACTATTTTTCAAAATGGCTGTCTTATACGGAGATCTCTGTTTTGCTCGTTTCTGTTATTGCTTTTCTGTGGGTCTTTTTCAGAATAGAACAATCCTCTTTTGTTTTAGCATTCTTATTTTAGTAGTTGTGTTTGATTATGTTGTTTGCAGTATTTATTTGATTTGGGTTTTCGTTTTGTAGTTTTCATTGTAGACAGTTGTACTGTTTTGCAATTTGCGTTTGTTGATTTTCGTTGTATTAACTGTAACTGCCAAATACTTGTGTTCATTCCTAAGGGAAGCGTTTCGTGTGTTCAGATCTACGTCATTTGAGTTTCTCCAGTCACCAGATTCAGATTTGGCAAGCATTTATCTTGTATGTCTTCATTGCTACCGTGGACAATGAAGCAAATTTGCATTTGGGTAAACTTTCTAAGTTTTGTGTTAGATTTATTGTATCTAAATATCATTCAGTTTCCAGAATTGCAAATATCCATATGTTGCTGGCGAAAGAACGTGGGGGTAATCTTTTTACTTCACATCGATGGTACTGCATAATAACGATATTCTGAATGGGAAGTGTAATCAGATCTCACGAATTGAAGATGTTTAATGTCATCAACTCTCACGAATTGAAGATGTTTAATGTCATCAACTCTCACGAATTGAAGATGTTTAATGTCATCAACTCTCACGAATTGAAGATGTTTAATGTCATCAACTCTCACGAATTGAAGATGTTTAATGCCTTCAACTCTCACGAATTGAAGATGTTTAATGTCATCAACTCTCACGAATTGAAGATGTTGAAAGACACCAACTTTCCTGAAATGAAGATGATGAATGACATCAACTTTCCTGAATTGAAGACATTTCGATTTCTGAATAGAATATGTTGATCGGCATGATCTATTCTGAATGGAATGTGTTGATCGACATCTGCTATTCAAAATGGAATGTGTTGATTGACATTTGCTATTGTGAATGAAATGCGTTGATCGACATCTGCTATTCTGAATGGAATGCGTTGATCGACATCTACTATTCTGAATGAAATGTGTTGATTGACATTGGCTATTCTGAATGAAATGTGGTGATTGACATATTCTGAATGAAATGTGGTGATTGACATTGGCTATTCTGAATGAAATGTGGTGATTGACATTGGCTATTCTGAATGAAATGTGGTGATTGACATCTGCTATTCTGAATGAAATGTGGTGATTGACACCCAATACTCTAAATGTAAGATGATGTATGACATCTAGGACTGAAGATATTTAATGTCATTCGACATGTTCATTTTCTTTTGTCGCCCTTCGGCTCCATGGTAGGGTGTTCGTCGCATTTGTCATGTGAGGTAAAACTCGCTGTTGTTTTCTTGAGGCATAATGCTGCTATGTAGACACGTTTATTGTATACACAGGTTTCTTTATTTTTGGACATATATATTCAAGACACAACTGTTTGTTATCTATAATCTGTGAAGGAACACTTTGAAAAGACCTCGATGAGGATTGGGTGGGTAGCGTGAAAATATATGGTGATTTCACGTATGCCTTTGATAGGCGGAAGCAGACATTGCTGGTTTCAATATTGAAAGTATCAGTTGTGGACGAGATGATTTAATTCATTAATGAAATGTGAATAATATAAGACTCTTACCCATGAGAATGAATGATAAGATCCCTCCGATATTTGCATTTACCGTTTTTAAATGTGATTGGTCAATTGAAGCCATATGACGTGACTGTAAGAAGAAAAATATAATATGACGTCATCCAATGTCTATGACGTCACAAAATCATTACGTCATCTGAGGTCAGGTCTGAGGTGGGGATCACATCAACTATTCATCCGGCGCGGTTATCTATCATAAGTGGTAGCTGGTTGGTGATTTCGTATTAAATTACATTAGGGTGTTGATTCTGCTGGAGTTACGACTCAGAATTACTGAATGTCAAAATTGTTTATGTGTTGAGTTCTGACATTCGTTTGTAAACTATGTATGGCACTCGTGTTATACTCTCGTTATAAAGCAGTATTCAGATAATGTAGAATCATTGCCTCAGATATCCCCGTGAACTGATACAACTCAGCTTTGTGATCCTGCAAAGTCATGTTTCATTTCATGAATAATTATATTCTTAAATTATACATAAACACTGTACATATTGTTTTCTCTATAGAAACGTTATTTAATTCAGAGAAGATTCTTTTAGAATAAATAAAAAAACTGAGTTGTTGTTTGAGTCTCATTCGGTCACTTACACACCCACTCACTTACTCACTTACTCACTCACTCACTCACTTACTCACTCTATCAACCGCCTCCGTGGTGAAGTGGTTAGAGCGTCCGCCCGGAGAGCGGAAGGTCGCGGGTTCGATCCCCAGCCGCGTCATACCAAAATACGTTAAAATATGGTACTTGTTGGTCCCTGCTTGGCGCTCGGCATTAATGGGTACAACAAGGACTGGTCGGCTCGGAGTCAGTATGGTGTGACTGCGTGGGGTATTCATGCTTCACTGCGGCATGGTATCTTAGTTGGCTAGCACTATAAAACCAGCTTAAGTCTGGGCCAGTACAAGCAGCCACACATACACACGCATGCACGTCGTCATATGAGCGAAATATTCTTAAGTACGACGTTGAACGCCATTTCACCTCACCTCACCATATTTGGTGGGTGAGTGAGTTTGGCCTGTAGCCACTTTGAAAATGATTTCAGCAACATCACGCAACATCACGCCGTGTGTAATGAACGTGTGTAATGAACGCCCGAACTAAACATACTTTTGTGTGAAAACCAGCGAGTATGGTTCTAGTAAATGTTAACAATGAAACCTATTTTCGTAGGTTTCTGGCACACAAAAGGGAGGCAACTCAACAGCATGATTTGTGGCATGCTTCTACGATTTGGCCAGCCATGACCTCTGATCAGGAAAATGTGTGTGAAGGATTTTGTTCAAGGTGCGGTGAGTTCAATACTACGCCTAGAGAAAACACAACTCTCTTTCAATTGTCTCTGTACTTATTTTGGAATCCAATGATTTGATTTCGCGAGTGGTCAGAGTCTGTGACAGGGAAGTCACAGCGATGGCTGGTGTTCGTAATATTAACCTCGTGTTTGTCTCTTTCAGATATTAGTGAGTGATCGAGTCATGTTTTCGCCGCTATATTCCAGCAATATCACGACGATGGGGAACACTTTTTATTGAGAGACAAGTTCTTTATTCCAATGGATGCGACGTTTCGGCGTAGATGCTAACTCCGATATCAAGCATGTGATAGCATTTTCACTGAGAGGTCACATCTATTGCAAGAAAGAACATGTCGATCCATAACAATTGCTTCTCCTCTTCATCATGCCAGCTTCTAAATGCCACTCAAAGAAGTAATATAACGACGGAAGAAACCTTAAAACGCTTCACGCAGTGCACACCTGTGGGGATTCGAACCCGGATCTTCGGCGCTTTAAACCCTAGGCTGCCCCACAGCCGTTGTTCCAGATGTTTAACGTTGTGCTGTCATATACTTGGAAAACTTAAACATACTTTTGTGTGAAAACCAGCGAGTATGGTTCTAGTAAATGTTAACAATGAAACCTATTTTCGTAGGTTTCTGGCACACAAAGGGAGGCAACTCAACAGCATGATTTGTCATGCTTCTACGATTTGGCCAGCCATGACCTCTGATCAGGAAAATGTGTGTGAAGGATTTTGTTCAAGGTGCGGTGAGTTCAATACTACGCCTAGAGAAAACACAACTCTCTTTCAATTGTCTCTGTACTTATTTTGGAATCCAATGATTTGATTTCGCGAGTGGTCAGAGTCTGTGACAGGGAAGTCACAGCGATGGCTGGTGTTCGTAATATTAACCTCGTGTTTGTCTCTTTCAGATATTAGTGAGTGATCGAGTCATGTTTTTCGCCGCTATATTCCAGCAATATCACGACGATGGGGAACACTTTTTATTGAGAGACAAGTTCTTTATTCCAATGGATGCGACGTTTCGGCGTAGATGCTAACTCCGATATCAAGCATGTGATAGCATTTTCACTGAGAGGTCACATCTATTGCAAGAAAGAACATGTCGATCCATAACAATTGCTTCTCCTCTTCATCATGCCAGCTTCTAAATGCCACTCAAAGAAGTAATATAACGACGGAAGAAACCTTAAAACGCTTCACGCAGTGCACACCTGTGGGGATTCGAACCCGGATCTTCGGCGCTTTAAACCCTAGGCTGCCCCACAGCCGTTGTTCCAGATGTTTAACGTTGTGCTGTCATATACTTGGAAAACTCGCGAATGCCGTGTTGAACACTAACAATGTTTCTAAGGCGGTATACGTACGTGCTATGTGTAAGAGAGAGAGAGAGAGAGAGAGAGAGAGAGAGAGAGAGAGAGAGAGAGAGAGAGAGAGAGAGACAGAGAGAGGGAGGGAGAGAGAGAGAGGAGAGAGAGAGAGACAGAGGGAGAGAGAGAGGAGAGAGAGAGAGAGAGAGAGAGAGAGAGAGAGAGAGAGAGAGAGAGAAAGACTGACTGACTGAGTTTGGTTTTACGCCGCTTTTAGCAATATTCCAGCAATATCACGGCGGGGGACACCAGAAATGGGCTTCACACATGATACCCATGTGGGGATTCGAACCCGGGTCAGGAGAGATTTGAATGTCTGGTAGTCGGTAGTGGTTAAAGCGTTGGCTCGTCACGCCGAAGACCCGGGTTCGATTCCCAACATGGGCACAATGTGTGAAGCCCATTTCTGGTGTCCCCCGCCGTGATGTTGCTGGAATATTGCTGAAAGCGGCATAAAACCAAACTCAGTCAGTCAGTCAGTTAAAGCGTTCGCTAATCACGCCGAGGACCCGTGTCCGATTCTCTGCAGGGGCACAATGTATGATGTACACCGCTCTGATATTAATAAAAGCGGCGTAAAACCATACTCACTCACCAAACAACTTGAATAGTGAATGTTGATGATACTCAGCAAAAGTGTTTCTAAAATGTACGACAGAAACTTTGTTGAACATATACTCATGCCAATAATGGTTGTCACCCCCTCCCCACCCCAACCCCTCACACACCTCACACCCCCACCCTCCAATTAAAAAAATTGAAGGGGTGACAACCATTATTGGCATGAGTATATTTGAAATAGAAACATAACACCAAGCCTTTCAGATAGTGTAATACGCACGCTCGCTCTGAAAATACGTACCATTAAGATCTAACTGCCCGTCGCCATTGTAGTCACTTTCCCGGATCATTTCATCTGCTTCCTCGTCTGTCAGATTTTCGCCAAGATCCTTCATAACGTTCTTCAGGTCACGTCTCCCAATGTACCCGTCGCCGTCTGTATCAAAAACTCGGAACGCTTCGATCATCGCGACTTCGAACATATCCTCGGCGTTCTTACTCTTGAACATGTTGAGAAAATCCGAAAAATCTAGGAAACCTTTGCCTGAAAATATTGAGGATGATCCTGAAAGTATTTATCCGTGAGTTTCCTGAAATTGGTATGACACAGAAGAGAATGTGATACTTATGTTATTGCCATGACTACGTGAAAGACTCGAATTTGATTGGAAAATCAATAAAATTAGACATAATCAATTTGGATTGAAAAATGCGTCTGAATAGATGACCACTTCACTGAGCACGTACCCAACACTGTCGAACTACTTCCGCTTGACCACCAACATGGCGGATATCAACACAACAGACGTGATGGAAATATTAATGATAAAACAGTTATCATTACTTTGTCTCGAAAATACAATCATATGCTTTTTTCCTCCACATGTATCAGAGAACCTCCGTATCACAGTATAAGAATAAAAAAACTCAATTACAATGTATAGGCCGAGCTATGAGCAAACGATATTAAAGTTCTAAAATTTTCTTCAGTCTTATGTACCATCTACATCTCTGAGATTAGAGAATCAGCGCCTTCTTGTTATCCAAAGTCAAACAAGCTAAATATGGACACCGTGCCTTCTCCGGGGGGGGGGGGGCGCAGTGGGGTAGCCTAGTGGTGAAAGCGTTCGCTCGTCATGCCGAAGGCCCGGGTTCGATTCCCCACATGGGTACAATTTGTGAAGCCCATTTCTTGTGTCCCCCGCAGTGATATTGCTGGAATATTGCTAAAAACGGCGTAAAACCATACTCAGTCAGTCAGTCAGTCTCCTACGCTGCTGCCAAAGAATCCGATCCAGTCCCGACTACCAGACATTCACATCTCTCCTGAGAGCTCACTTCTTTAAACAAGCCTACTCTTAGTTCTCAGCTAATTACCCGACTTGTGCACTGTGAGCAGGATATCAGGCCTGGAAAAGCGCGTTGTAAATATTCATATTATATAATATTTTATGTATCAAACAGCTTATTTCTTAGTACTTTTGAGTTTCCTCGAAGAGATAACATATGTCAATACAACTAGCCAATGACGTTGACCAATGACGTCAACAATCATATTCTGCCATTGCTGATGGTGTGACGTCATTCTGCATTATAGCTAACATACATGGAATTATCATGAAACGGCCCTCCCATTATCAGAAATTTGCGGGCAGCTGCAAATAATATTGGACCGCTCAACCTTAACGACGGGCCACTATCAGTTCCGTTGTCAAGTGACGTCATAGCGGGTGTGTGGGCTTACGGTTCATTCGGCATTAATTGGCTTTCGACTGGCAGATATTCTGGGTCAAACAAGTCAAAGCAACCCGAATTCCCGCTTTATATAGCGGTAATGTTGGCTTTCTTGTTGTTGCTAACCTTAACAATTGCACTATTAAGGCGGTTGATGGACCAAAACCGAACACTGACATAGTTTGACATGTTGTAGGCTATGGTATTGTCAAAGGCCAAGGTCGAATATCGTCACTTTCTGTTGTGACGTCACTTGAATTGTTCGACGACGTAATCGCATTCGGGAAGTCAACCCCGTCAGAAGTTGGTTGTGAGTAAACTTACAGTCAAATTCCTTCATTGTTTCCTTTTTCTTTTCAACACAAATTCCATGTATTTTAGCAATAATAACGGTAATGCTATTTTTGAGGGCATTATCATTTGCAGAAGCCCTCGGTCTTATAATGGAAGACCTCGGGCTTCTGCAAATGATAATGCCCTCAAAAATAGCATTACCCTTATATTGATTACTCCCTCACCGGCACGGTCCACATCCTTTATCATGTCCAGCAGCTCTGTAGCTGTCGGATTCTGTCCTAATGACCTCATCACCACGTTCAATTCGGCACATGTGACCCTCCCATCAGCATTTTTGTCAAACAGCACAAACGCTTCTTGGATTTCTGCATCTGCAATACATTTTCTCATTCATTTTGCGCCCTGTATTGATGCAATCACTTCCATAGTGCCCCTGTTTCACCCCGCAGTGAATGGGTACCCGGTGCAATAAGTCATATGATGGTAACCCTTTAGCGCCTCACATGTTATCCAGGATAATAATTTGCGCCTTGACTGCTAACTGGCTGAGTATGGTTTTACGCCGCTTTTAGCAATATTCCAGCAACATCACGGCGGGGGACACCAGAAATGGGCTTCACACATTTTGCCCATGTGGGGATTCGAACCCGGGTCTTCGGCGTGAGGAGACAACGCTTTAACTACTAAGCTACCAAACCGCCCCTCATAACTTACTGGGGCGGTAGAGTAGTCTAGTGGTTAAAGCGTTCGCTCGTCATTCGAAGACCCGGGTTCGATACCCCACATGCGTACAATGTGTGAAGCCCATTTTGGTGTCCCCCGTCGTTATATTGCTGGGATATTGCTAAAAGCGGCCTTAACCTATGCTCACTCGCTCACTCACTCAGTGGATCAGTCACTCACTCACTCAATCTCTCATAATTTACATTTTTATCGTGATCTCGTGATTCACACAAAATGAATGCTTGTTTGTTGCTCTCAGCATTTTCCAGCAATATGACGGCGGTCCAGTGATCGATATCAAGAGCATCATTCTCACTCATTCATTCGCTCATGTATCACCAGGTTATCAGATCCCGTGAGTCGCGACAAGATCACGGCAGTAAGACCAGGTTAGTCATACAGTTTGTTTGCTTGTTGCTGAGCGCTGTATTCAGCAATATTCCATCTGTTTGCAGTGTCCGTAAGTAATCCAATCCAGTGATCAACAGCATAACAGTCGATCTACGAACTTGGGATACGATGACATGTGTCAACCAAGTGCTAGTCTGACACTATATTTTCGTGATGTTTTGTTCACGGTGAACTAGACAATTCCAGTACAAAGATACACACTGTAACCGGATACGTTTTGGCAGTATCAGTTTATAAGAATTGATGACATTCTATTACATGAGAAAGCACGCAATAGGGATTGGATGGCCCTATCCAATATGTAAATTAGTTCGTAGATTCCGACACTATCCTGTTTGTGCAGATGTGTTTTGAATAATGGTCCACCATTCTTAATAGATTACTCGCCATATCTTTAAATATTATGAAATTACTGAAAAAAATTACACCATTTTAGTTGCATGTTTTATGTGATTAGCGAAGTCAGAGAAGGACGCCATTGGCATGTTGATTAGTATATATCTCACCTAATTCCCGTCATTTGTGTAGAAGGTTTCAGTTTGTCTGTCAGAATATGGCGCTCTTTCGACAGATCATAAATAGACGTAAAATAAGTGTAAATATAAAAAAAAAATTCAAAACACACGAATATATTTTTAGGATAAGCCTTTTTTGTATATGATTATTATCATTGGCTATTTCTTTTCATAACTACCCTACGAAAGATGCAGAAAAAATGCTCTTTTTGAAAGGAATTATCAGAATAATGTTTCATTTACAGTTTTTGTAGAATTATAGTTACATCTTCTTTGAGAGGCATTTAGAAGTTGTAATGATGAAGGAAAACCAAGTTCTATGGCTAGTCAGCTTCGTTATTACAATGAGTGCGATGTTTCGGTGTCGCTTGATAACGATAACGGTACCTATAGTCTGTTTGCAGTGAAAACGTACCGATGAATTTCATTTTAAACAAAAAAGTAAATGAAATAAAGTGAAATTAAGATTGCGAATCTTCATAATTTTACCTTGTCAATTGAAGATTTAAATCTCAGTATTTTATTTAACTTAGGATAAAAGTTGTTTAACAAACTATCACAGTTTCAAAGGGCTATTATTAGTTTGTATTACAAGGGGGTAAGCGGAGAAGTTGGAACAGTGAAACAAATGCACGTGCAGTACGTGATGAGTGTTAACTTATACTACCGTAGAAACCAACCCTTCTTGTTCTAGGGGTTTCATTTAATGTGCATACCCCCTTGTAATACAATCCAATAATAGCGATGTGAAACTATGATCGTTTGTTAAACAACTTTTATCTTAAGTTGAATAAAATTTTGATACTTTATTGTTCAATTGGCAAGGTAAAATTATGAGGATTTGCAATCTTAATTTCACTTTATTTCATTTACATTTTTGTTTAAAGTGAAATTCATCGGTACGTTTTCTCTGCAAACAGACTATACACCGAAACGTCGCACTCATTGCAGTGAAGAAGTTGACTATCGATAGAACTTGGTTTTCCTGCAGTTATAGTTAAAGCTTGATATCCTGTCAATACAATATTTCTTTTCGAATATGAATTAATAATATTATCGAAAACAATATGAAACGCCCACCTGGCCAATCATATTACCTGTACATGTACATCATTGTTTGTCAAAAAAACGACAAAAGCAAACGCAATGAACAACACAATATCTTTAAAAATGTTTGAATATACATTTCATAATACATTTTTCTTAAATTGATATTGTCCGTTTTAAATATAACTTTCAATTAAATCTGTGATCATTTACCTGGTTATATGAAATTACAATATTGAATATTGTACAACATAGGAACTAACGTACACGTTACAATTATGCCAAAGTTTCGTCTTCTAACACTTGTATAAAGGTTTAAAATAGGGTTTACTACACTAAATGTGTCAAAAACCTTTCAAAAGGATGCAAAAACCACAGAGGCGGGAAAATGCCTTTATCCATCGTATGATATCATATTGAACAATCGCCCGGAGAGCGGAAGGTCGTGGGTTCAATCCCCGACCGCGTCATACCAAAAAACGTTAAAATATGGTACTTGTTGGTCCCTGCCTGGCGCTCGGCATTAATGGGTACATCAAGGACTGGTCGGCTCGGAGTCAGTATAATGTGTCTGAGTGGGGTATTCATGCTTCACTGCGGCATGGTATCTCAGTGGGCTAGCACTATAAAACCAGCTTCAGTCTGGGCTAGTACACGCAGCCGCACATACACATACACACGCATGCACGTCGTCATATGAGCGAAATATTCTCAAGCACGACGTAAAACCCAATTTCACCTCACCTCACCTCATATTGAACAAGGGTAAATGTAGATAATGAAATTAGTTTCGTGGCAACTTGATGAACGATAAGCAAAATATACATTGAATACAGAAAGTGTAAGCAGCAGGATGTGGTGATTGTTACAGAAAGAAATTGTCAAATATATATGTACCACAATGTTGACGCATGACATCATTACCCATGTTAGATTTCTTACAAAATGGCGGCTTCTGCACCCAGGCTTGATTATTCGAGGGACCTTCCCTTGTCCATAAATATGTGATGTAAATAATCAGAAACATCCGGACCATCTGCCTATTGTTATTTGTTTATTGTTATTTATCTATTGTTTTATTTCTTTTTTTCTCTGTAAGTGAGAGAGGAAGTCTGAAATACCGATAATCAGGGCCCTTGTCGTTCTGCGTGATTTTGCGTCAGTGATTGGCGCTGCACGGAAACTTTGACAATTTGGTATGAATGATTGCATTGTATCTATTTATTATTTCTTATTTTTTGCTACCACTTTTTCCATGCATATTCTAAACCTATTGAGCCAGTGCACGCAACGAATAGACGAATGGATTTCTGAAAATTTGAGAAAATGCTACACCGTATAATTTCTGAATCTTTCTTTGTTTATATACTAGTATCAATCACGCGAAATCATACCACCATAATATTGTTATACATAAAGTATTATACTTTTATATGACATGGTTCGTCTTCAAACCCAATATGTTCCATATTTCATCTAGACACTTGACTGTGGTGACAAAGACCATTTGTTGTTTGATTCTAAAACGCATGAGGAATTTTAGTGATGCATTTGAGAGTGAAATATACTTTATGTAATAGGCGTCTCCATCATAACCGGTCTTCGCGAAACGTGCTTCAACAAAGTTATCGAAATTGACGGAAAGTGTACTTCGACGTTTGTGTTTTCCAAAATATCCCAACCTATTCTAGCTGTATCTTTAACGTTTCAGTCCCACCCCAAAACGAAGCAAGCATATGAAACAAAGTGGTCTCACCTCAGGCAATTGATTTTCAAAACAGCCTCAGTTCACCAAGCAGTGAATGGGTACCCGGAGGGATGAGATTGTGGCGCACACTGATCCACGGACCAGGCTAATAACGTAAGCGCTTTGAGCATACACTTTGTGAGTGAGTGAGGTTAGTTTTGATCACTTCTAACCCGGATCTTCACGGGTTGCATACACATTGTGAGTGGAAGTTAACGCAATGAAGTACACACATTATCACATTACTATCACGAATCAACACATGCGCTTTAGATATGATGAGCAGCATTAACCAAGCCAGCAACCCGATCCCGTTAGTTGCCGTGGCGACAAGCATGGGCTGTGAAGATCAATTCTAGTCCTGATCTTCACGAGTCTCACGCAAAATTGGGGTGGTGGTTAAATCGTTCGCTCGTTACACCGAAGATCCAGGTTCGACTCCCCACATTGTGAAGCCCATTTTATGGCGTCCCCCGCCATGATATTGCTGGAATATTTCTAGAAGCGGCGTAAAACTAAACTAACTCACTCACACAAATAAGTTGTTAAAAACCTTGTCATACATGCATATATATGTGGGATAAGTATATATGTAAACAACATTCCAATACAATAGGTAACGAATCCTTACCTGAATATTGGCCTGATGTCGGTTGATTAGTCTGAAGTAACACATCTTTAGCTTTAAAGCACACACATTGTGCCACACATTGCCACACATTGTCGACAATATTTTGGCCCATATTATATATATTTGGGCATATGCACTCACTTTAGCTTGATATTAATGCAATAAAAGACATATTATCCCTTACGACTTGCCTGAAATCGATGATTAAAACTTCGAGGTGGACAGCTTCCAAAAAGAGAAAACTTGCAACATATGGAATGGGAACAATAATGCTCCGTACATCGAAAACTGTCGCACGCAGTGTTGTCGTTGTTTGCCGAACTGGTTTCAATCTCAAGTTGTGCGCCAGATAGTCGTACAGAGCGCTCCAGGGGACATAACTCTATGGGTTTTGGCTTGACTGACTGACTGACTGAGTTTGGTTTTACGCCGCTTTCCAGCAACATCACGGCGGGGGACACCAGAAATGGGCTTCACACATTGTACCCATGTGGGGATTCGAACCCGGGTCTATGGCGTGACGAGCCAACGCTTTAACCAGTAGGCTATCCCACCGCCCCGGTTTTGGCTTGAAGTAATGTTCGGCCGGTAGAGTCGATTTAATGCAGCGTTGCATTAATTCATTCGTACTTTTTAATT